ATCTATATGAGACCGGGAAATAACTAAACGAAGATTCCCGGTCATTTATAAACTCAACTAATCACTCGCAATTTTTAAAAATTAGTATGAAGGTGATCATGAGTGACACTTAGTGCGACAGGGGATTTCTATATTTATCACCCGGATTATACTTTTTTATCATTAAATTTGACCTTAAACTACCAAGTTCCATATAATTCATTACAACCATATAATTTAATGTCTTTGGATCTTGGGTTATTCCAAATATTCTAATAGAATCCGAATTATCATTTCGAGCCGAATACATAAAATTTATCGCAGTTTTCAGAATTCTGTATACGTTATAATTACTTGATGATTATGATTACAGGACAATAACTGGACGATTACTGGACAATTACTGAGTGATTATGATTATAGGACGATTATAGGACGATTACAGGACGATTACCGGACAAAATTGTCCAGTTTTTGTCCAGTAATCGTCCTATAATCATAATCTCATAATCTTTTTTATTAGATGACCTGCAGGGGGTAGCACAATTTTGAAAAGTGCAATAAATAATTTTCCCACTAAAATACCAATTTAACGATGAAAAAAAAAGATGAACATTTTAATTATTAATCTTTTATATAATAAATATTATCATTATGTTATCATTTACCTCATTTAAAAAATCTTTCTCGATATTTGAGGAATTGTTTAAACTTTTTAACACGACGCGTCTTCCGGCTTTTTCTTTTTCATTGAGAGATGGTTTAATATTGCTCTTATAATCATATTCAAGTGGAAAAGCGTATCTTTCCCACTGTTGATTTTTATTATCCCATTTTTCGATCCCACCAACTAACCAAATAGCCTTAAAAATGGTACTGAACCCACCTTGAGCAAGGTACTTTATATCTATTAATTGTTCATATGAAATCCACTCTATAACTTCTTGACGATTTCTAGCTCTTGATTGAGCATTTTGTATAAATTTATCTACAAATTCATTTCCACTAGTCCATTTATTAAAATCTTTTTGAAATCGTTTAGTATTACAATTTTTACACCAATCAGAACTAGTCTTTGATTGATCACAATCAAGACATCGTCCAAATTCTTGATTAAATATTTGTTGTCCGTATTTACTATTTAAAAAATTTTCAATATTTTCCGGCATTTTAATCTATTGAATTTTTTACGTATAACTGTATGTATATATATATATATATATTACACGTAAAACTTATATTAGTAAAGATAATGACCGATTTTTAATCGTAACATGATTAACACGTGCCCTTTCAAAAAAAACCGCAAATCGGAATTTAACATCAAATATTTCATTGTGTTTTATTACTAAACTTATTTTGTCATTTGATTAGTGCGCCGTCATCATTCTTTCAATGAATTTTTGGATATTTAAGTAAATATTCTGTAAATAATAATTGTTTTAAAATTATAATATCATTAATTTCTTTCATAAACTAACGATTACGTAATATTGTTTGGCTGCGGAGTTACGTCTTGCAAGGGGTTAATTTATCACAATAATAAAGTTCAGGGGTATGTTTCATTGTGCGATGTGCACGGGACTTCCATGGAACGTATATAAGGAACAATCGACATAATAAAGTGATTTAATAAAAACTACATTTAGTCCGAATAAAGAAATTAAAATGATAGCACAATTTTTATAGTTCAAAATAGACATTTAATTAATTGAATCTTAAAGGTGTCTTGGCGTAAAAGAATAAAAGATCTAGGTATAATTCAGTTATAAACTAGTAGGTATATATGTACTTGGCTAATTGTACAGACTTAATACTAACTTAATATATCAACGTAAATGACCTAAAATTTATTTCGTTTTTCCTAAGGGCAGTGACATTTATTACGTAATATTCGTTTGTTATAAGTATTAGTCCTCATCCCCACATAACATATATAAAATCTTATGTATTTAAAAAACCTTTATTTACCCTACTCCCTAAATATTACGTAATAAATGTCATTTCCCCTAACCACCTGATCAAAATATTTACTTTATTCAACAAAATTTAAGCACATTCTTCTTTTGGTTATCTAAATGATTGATCGTTTCATAATCTATTATTAAATGATGATATAATAAAAAAAGTAACCTTGTCGGCTCATCATAAATCCATCTTTAAAGAGAGAAACGGATAAAAAAAACACGAAGCGATGAGCATACAGTAATACTTTCCAATTCAACTTCCTATAGTCTGGTTGATTCACGTTGTTTTAATGTAAAACCAACTTCAGAATTTTTACAGTACACAAGAAGTTAAATTAAGAAAATCTTGTATTTACACCTTCTTAGTATTAAATATCAAGAAAATATCGTTTTCATACCTAGTAAAAAATATCTAAAGAAATTTCGTATTCCATGCTTCATTCTACCCCCCTAAATAATAAAAAATAAGAAATTCTATATTCTGACACATAATCGCCCACATCTTAATTAATAAGAATCAAAAAAATCCTACGCCCATATCTCTTTGCACTTCCTATCAATAAATGGAAATCGATGTAAATCCGAACCTAAAATTTGCGATTTCATTGGATAATGTCACGTGATCGAACATTTTTTTAGTGCGAAGACATATTGCTTCGCTCGTTATCTTTATAATAAAATTTTCTCAATTTTTTAATAAGTTTGACTAGGACTAATATCTTTATTTTATCTATACATGTGGCCGAAATTTTTTTTCAATTTCGGTCGCATTGCGGCCCCAAAGCAATCCTACTCGTACTGTAGATCTGCCAATAAACTTTTTTAGGAACTTTAACTTTACAACCTAGAATAGGAAAACTTGATTCAAAAATTATTAAACTTAAACTTGCAAAGAAAATTATTAATTGAATTGATAAAAAAGATTTCTTTATCTTACGTACAAATTCATGAAACAGTTACTTTACAGGAAACATCTTTTGATATTATTCAAGATATTACAAAAACAATCAATATTAAAAAGTCGTGACTATTAACTATCACCCCACCATAACAGCAAGCTCAGGATTTCCGCAGCACACTATAAAAAAACAATAAGCATTAGACAAACCCAAGGGAAACTGGGAAAGTGTTGCACTCTTATATAAGGAACTCCCACAAAGGGGAGGGTGGTTGCACTCCCACAAAGGGAGGGTGGTTGCACTCCCACGAAGGGGAGGGTGGTTGCACTCCCACGAAGGGGAGGGTGGTTGCACTCCCACGAAGGGGAGGGTGGTTGCACTCCCACAAGGGGAGGGTGATAACCTTCTCAAACTCTCAGTCAAGTTACTTTATCATAAAGGCACATAACCGGTTCCTCTTCCAGAACAAGTAGTCCTTTAATCTCACTTCACAAGAAAGAGTAAGGAGAAGTTGTTTGTATTTTCGCCAGTGTAGCAACACTTACACAGCATACTTGAACTGTTATGCTTACCTCTTCCCATTGTATCGTGAAATAAGACTTGTTCAAGTGACTTGGATAGAGAAAAAAAATAAAAAAAAATATAATCGTGTCGGGACGAGAAGAAAAATATAATATCGACTTAACTTAGGACTTGAAAAAAAATATAAAGACGTGTTTATATAGTTTATATAATAAGCTTGATAGTGGCTTATTTCGTCATATAAACAGTACGCGATTTATGTGCGAACAGCTGCGCAAACTGCCGCAGTCACATGGTAAATTTGATCATTGAGTTTCAATTTATTTTTTTATCACGTTTAGTGATTAGGCGCAAATATTTAACAGCGCTACATTTATTTTTTGCGTCTCACGCTATTATCACAATATTTGATATGGTTATTTTTTTTCTGCAATCAATATTTCGCATGATGGGGATTTGGGGATGTGGCAAGAGGGATTAACATGAAATGTAGTGCGAAGATCCAGGAATCACTTTTTCCTGGATATTTACCTGCACTATAAAAACAGGCCAGTATCTTTTTTTTTTTGAATCCCCTTGTCCGAGATAAGAGAAAGCTTACTATTATTCTTCCTTCAGCTTTATTCTGTACCAAGAGAAAAGGATCCAGTATGTCGAGCTCAAAACCAATCAAGATGCCGAGAGAAAAAAGTAAAACTCCAGAATCTTACAAATCGTCTCTTGTTAATTGTAGAAAAATCTTGAGGACGATATCATTGGAGACAAAGGAATTTCCAGAGCTAGACCAATGTTCGGAATGTAATAATGAAATTTTAACGCTTCCTCCTAAAGCGATCACTATGCCCAACTGTGGCCATACCTTTCACCGGATATGTATTTCAAAAAGCTTCTACTTACCATGACGAATACATATCCATTTCCCGATGGTGGGAAGAATGTTGATATCTTAGAACCATTTTCTGCGATTCAAGATTCGCCATTATCTCATTCGAGTGGAACTTCAGCTTTATCCAACATAATGAGCGAAAGGTTCATCCTAACTTCACCAATCATGAGAAGAGAATGGAGGGGAGATATGCTGAAACAAACAGGAATGAGATTCAACGGGCCAAAAGTTATCGAGGAAAAAAAAAGATGAATATTTTTAATTATTAATATTTATGTATAAAAAATTATCGTTATGTTATCATTTACCTCATTCAAAAAATCTTTATTGACATTTGAGGAATTATTTAAACTTTTTAACACAACACGTGTAAAAGCATATCTTTCCCACTGTTGTATTTTATTATTCCATTTTTCGATCCCACCAACTAACCAAATAGCCTTAAAGATGGTACTGAAACCACCTTTATCAAGGTACTGTATATCACTTAATTTTTCATACGGAATCCATTCTATAACCTCTTGACGATTTCTAGCTTTTGATTGAGCATTTTGAATAAATTTATCTACAATTTCATTTCCACTAGTCCATTTATTAAAATCATTTTGAAACCGTATAGAATTACAAATTTTACACCAATGATAACTAGTCTTTGGTTGATTACAAACAGGACATAGTCCAAATACTTGATAAAATATTTGTTTTCCGTATCTACTATTTAAAAGATTTTCTATATGTTCTATCATTTTTTGATTTATTGTTTTTTACCAGTACAGCAGTATATACAGCATATCTATATACACGCGTACAGCGTACAGTGTAGATTACGTAAAACCCGTATTAACTTAATTTGGGCCAGGCCAGATAATGAACGATTTAATTGTTACACGTGCCTTTCAAAAAAAACGTAAATCGGAGTTAACATCCAATATTTCATATATTTCATTGTATTATTATCTTCGAACTTTATTATTTATTATATAATTATTTGTCATTTGATTCATGATTTTGCTGTACAGTCATCACTTTTTTCAATTAACAATGAAGTAATATTTATAAACAATAATTTATTAAAGTTTACGATTTGGCTGCGGAGTTAATTTCTGCAAGGGGTCACAATGACAAAGTTAAGGGGTTAAAAGGTCCTGTATCATCGTGTTACGTTGTCACGTTGTGATTTAATATAAAACTGCATTTAGTCCAAATCAAGGACGAATCTTTGGTAGTACGTAAAAGTCCTAACATAACTTAGTTATTGGACGGGGATACGGGTCTTCGACCGATATCTCTATTCCTCCTATCATCCAGTAACTATTTATTATAAGTAGATAAAATCCCAAATATTACACAGCGATCGTCACTTGGCTAATTGTACAGACTAACAATATAATAAAGATAGGAAAGAAAATTTCTTTTATTTGTATCGCTAGAAGAATGGCGTTGATCGCTATTCTATACAGATAATTCCCTCTTTCCTAAACCACCTGATCAAATTATTAAGAGTTGACTCATAATATTATTTGATTTTTTTCTTTATTCAATAAAATTAAAGAGCATTCTTCTTTTGGTTAGCTAAATAATTGATCGTTTCATTTTTACTAAATCGCTCTTGATACGTTGTTCCGATATAAAAAAAACCTCAGGATATACAGTAAATAAGAAGAAATCTTGTATTCACAACTACTCAATAATAAATATCAAGAAATTTCTAGAAGTTAAATATTAAAAGAGATTTCGTGTCCGTGTCTCTTATACTCCCATCAGATATTCCATAATCTGAGTCCTAGTCGTCCACACCTAGGAATGGAAATCGGTTCGTCGGTTCTAATTCGGTTCCACATCGGCTCCAATTTGGCTCCAATAAATAAAGTTATGAACTACGTGTGTCAAATTTAGGACACAGGCAGAGAGCTAGAAAAATTTTGATTGGCCTTCAAACGATAGTTGGTATGTTATCGTCAAAAGCTTGACTGATGGCTCAACTTGAGTCGGTTCTTGAAATCCGATTTCGGCTCAGAACGGTTTTTATGGTTAAAAGTAGTTTTAAACCAGGAGATCCAGAATCTTATAAACTTAGGATTTGTTCTAGAATCGACTCGAGTCAACTCATTTTGAACCGATTCCATCCCTATCCACATCCAATAATAAAAATCAAAGAAATCCTGCACCAATACCTCTACACCTACTAATAATAAAGTATCACATAAATTTTGCATCCCACGATTTCCACATCTCAGTAATAAGAAATTTCGTTTTCATACCTTCATAGTAATAAAATATCGAGAGAAATTTCGTGTCTCATGTCTCTTTCATCCCCACTTTAATAATAAAAATCAAAGAAATCCTGCACCTCATATCCTCATATCTCTATACCCTTTCTATTAATAATAAAATACAAATAAAATTTGTATCCTATGAATTTCACACTTAGTTACCTAGTAATAAAATATCAAAAGAAATTTCGTGCTCCTACCTCCTTAATGATAAGATATCAAAGAAATTCCATATCCTGAGTCCTATTTACTTTTACTTTCCTATTAATAATAAAAGATCAAATAAATTTTTTCATCCCATGATTTCCGCACTTAGTTTCCCAGTAATTAATTACCAAAAAATTTCGTGCCCTTACCTCCTTAATAATAAAATATCAACCTAATAACTAATAAATTTCGTATCCCATATATTCTGGACAAAGAAACTTTTATTCTTTGTTTCCCTTTATCCTTTTTCATAACAGAGTCTAATCTTTTTTCGATACTTCATAGAGGGAACCGCTACTATCTTTGCAGGCGATAAAATACCAATTGGCTTAGATAGGTTTAAAGAGATAATAAATTGGGGTTCCACTATAATCGACAAAACGTTTCTCATTGCTGAATTCATTGAGTGTAATGCATTAGTTTCTCTCGTCGTTTGGAAAACAATTAATCTTATGATGCTTAAAGATTTTCTTTCGATTCCCATCTACCCAGATAATGCTTTCCTAATAATAAAGTATAATTATCCCATGACTTCCACACCTTCCTAATAATACTAAATTTATGTATTCTTCCATGCCCCCATCTCTTCCTAATATTAAACATCAAAATTTGTACCTCGCCCTTTTAGTAATAAACTATCAAAAAATTTTCATATCCCTATCTTATAACAAATTGTATGTCATTCTTTTTTCCTAGAAAAAAATTTTTTGTATATTTTATTAAATTTAATTAATAAAATTAGGTAGCTTTAAAAACAAAGAAATAGTCTATAATCTGTCTCTTATACACATCTAGATGTGTATAAGAGACAGATGCAAAACAGCATCGTCTAATACAAAATTCTATTGTAAAATTTTTTTTTTTTCATGAAAAATTTTTTTGTACATTTTTGGATCGAAAATTTTTTAAAACAAAAATAAAGATTATTTTCCGGACACAGAAGTTAGAAATACGCGGGTATTATCCATTTCTTTTCTTTTCTTTTTCATATGGATCATGTATCATATACTATTAATTTTGAATTATTAGCGCTTAATTTAGATGGATCGTAAGTAATAATTCGTATGTCGCTTACCTACAAATGATGATCGTTTGTCAGATAGTCAGCATTTTGTGGATAATTCCTGAGTATTACTAATACGTATATGTATTTGTCATGATCTTCTGATTATGAATTGGAAAATTTGGTCATGTGATATTATAAATTTTAAATTCCTTCTTTGCAAGAAAAAAAAAACTTAGTAATTAGTAATGCTTTGATTTTCTTAATCTGAAAATCCTTTATAAATATATGCCTTTTTCATTTTTTAAAAGAAAATATATAAAAATTTTTTTTTGAAAAATCACCCAGAAAAAAAACTTCAGTTTATTAATCATATCACTAAGCTAAATCATTAATAGGAAAATCATCTTACAAATCCGGTTTTTTGTTTACAATGTATCATTGTCAAAAAAGTATAAATACCATGGGCAAAAACTTGATAAATTCATTCCCTTCTTCAAAACTAATATTTCAATATTCAAGAAGAAAAATCAATAATATTAATATTCCATTTAATCAAAGAAAAGAATTCTTTAATACTAGTTCATTAAGACAAAACGTAAATTTAAATAATATGGTTGCAAAAATTGTCGTACGTCCTTCTAAAGAACGTGGTTATGCAAATCATGGGTGGTTAGATACTCATCATACATTTTCTTTCGCCGATTATTATGATCCAAATTATAAAAGTTTTGGCGCATTACGTGTAATTAATGAAGATATCGTACAACCAAATAATGGTTTTGGAACACATCCACATCGTGGATATGAAATTTTCTCGTATATTATTTCCGGCGAATTGCAACATAAAGATTGTGAGTATTACGTGAAATTTATTTGTTACATGCGTATTTTCTTAAATAAAAATATATATATTTATTAAATTTTTTTTTTTCTCTATAATAGCAATGGGAAATGTAGAAATTCTTAAACGTGGTGATGTTCAATTCACAACAGCTGGAACAGGAATCTCGCATTCTGAATATAACATTAATAAAATTCATCCTGTTCATTTTCTTCAAATCTGGGTTTCGCCTGATGACAAGAATCTTACTCCAGCTTATAATACGAAAACGTATCCTGATTCTCTTAAAACCAATAATTTAACTCACATAATTTCCCCGGCATCCGAACAAGATTCGAAGACAATTGGAATTCATACAGATTTTCATATGTTTGCCAGTATATTACAACCTGAAAATAAAGTTGCACATACAGTTCAAGGATCTTTAGGTGGTGGAGATAAAACTAGAAGGTTATATGTTCATTTAACTAGTACAGGTGGTCAATTAAAAGTTAATGATGGTACCATATTGAAACCTGGTGATGGAGCTTTCATTACCGAAGTTGTTAGTGGTGAAGAAGTTATTTTTGAATCTACCGGTGAAGAAGTTGCAGAATTTGTTCTTTTTGACTTGGCTTAAATGTGATCTCTCATTTTAGGATTTAGGTAGTAATATTCATTTGGATTAACTAATATAATTTAAATTTAAATTTTTTTTTTCATATTATAATTATTATATGTTTATTTAATGTTATAATAAAATTAATAAAAGTAATATTACAAAGTATTATAAATTATAAAATGATATAACGTGACGTGTCAGCATAAAAATATCTGAAATTAAATATACACTATCAATAAACTTAGTAACTGCATTAACTGCACCCTTTCGGTAAACGTATACGGTAAAGAATAAATAAATAAATGTAGCAGTTTTGACGAATTAAAAAAAATCCGAAAAATCTAAAGAAAAGACCCCAGAAAAGAAACCCAAAAGAAAGCCAATGAATTCATTTGCTTTATTACGTTTATTCCTTTTTTTCAATTTTTGGTTTCTACTATCCTGTTGCCTTGTTGCTTCCTGTCAATAGTTCCTAGAAATATAATGTAAGATAGTTGTTGGTTTGTTAATATCAGCAATATGAATTATTTTTGATCTATAATTTTTTTCTCTGAGTCTGCATTTTTCATATAAAATAAAATATATTCACTAACCTTCACGAGCGATCGCTTATTTCTTTCTTTAAACGATAAAAGGAGTTTTAGAACTTTTATCTCCTTCTTTCGAAATATGCTATTAGAAAAAACGATACCAAATCAATATATTAATGAATAATAAATAACTTAATATAAAACGTTTAACATGATTACTCTTTTTAATCCTTTTCTTTTTAATCATTCCTCTTCCTCAGCCAATTTTATGTATTTATCTTTTCATTGTTGGATAAATTGCTACAGCGATGGCAGAAAATTATTTATCGTACCGCTTGAAAAGTCTTTTATAATCATTTTAAATTTCTGCGTGGTACGTGAAGATACATTACCACTCCTTTTCTTCTTTTCAGGAAACTCATATGTATCTTCGTATGATATAATAAATTGTGAGATAGGCAAAGAGATATTGGAACAAATATCGTAAAAATTATAATTACAGAAGGAATAAAATAATACCTGATCTCAAATTATGAATTAATTGTTTTAGTGAGATTTTCATTATTCTTGAGTTCATGTTCTTTTGAAATATTTTTTATAAGGTTAACAAAGTTGATTGTTAATAAAACTTTTAAATAAACATCAAATAACTTATCAGATCAAGGAAAATTACTTGTATAATTTTGCGTTTGAAATGTGAAATAGAGTAATGAACGGCAGAATCTAAACCACATATCGTAATTCAAATTAATTCTTATTAATATTATCAAGTTTTAATTTATTCTTTTAATTACATTAAGCGTGTTCTATAAAAGGACGAAAATATTAAAAAAAATCAACTTACATTTAACTTGGCTCGCCCTCGTTGCCTGGTTCCTCAATTAGCGCTTCCTCACTATCCTAAATGCGAGTCTTGGTCTTTTCCCACCAAGATTCGTAATCAGATTTTTTATGCACCGAAACATTACACATATAAGCCTAAGTCTTCAATACTTTGTACATCGTTAAGTGTAATGCTAAAATAAAAGCATTTGTTAGTTAATATAATAATAAAGGAAAAAGAAAATAATTACGAAACAATACTTACTTATTATTATTAATATAATCTTTATCATATGCCCTAGCCTCGGTACGTGAACGATGGTCTGCATCGACTGTGGCAACACCTTTTCGATATCTCGTGGCGCTCATTTGTCTATAAAGAAAACGGAGATTAAAGTGATCTGGTTTTTTGTAGTAGAAACAATAAGGATCTAATAAACATACACTTACAAACCGAGCTTTGAGATGAGTCTCTGTTCGTTGGCTGCTTTTTCACGCTTTGTTGAATAAATTGTTTTTTGCATATTTCAGAATTAAAAGAAGAATAATATAAGTTTCAAGACTCGTATAAATCAGCTTCGAAAATGTCTACAAAGAACAGAATGGTTTAGATATTTACACTCTCTAAATAAGAGGCGCTTTCCCTCTATAATTATTGCATAAAAGAATATTTTACTTATATCTTTAATATTTCTCAAAACCTACGTTGTATCCATATCTTTGCACATTGCTGAATTCTTGTTTGGGTATTCTTTCTGATAATAGGCGAACATTTCACAGCGGTAAAGTTGTTTGTGATTAATACTTTTGGATAACAAGGTTTTTATTTTGCAGAAAGTTGGTTCAAGTCGTAATAGTTCACCAGATATAAGACTTATTTCGTTGACAATAATCTATAAAATACACTGATAACGGTAAGAAGGGTTAACCAAATAAGTATTATATGGTGATTGTTGCGAAATTAGTAATTATTCAGCTTCGTAGCACAACTTTATTTGTATAGTAAATAAATTTATAAATGCAAAACTGATAAAGTTTAATTTGTTCTTGCCATTGGGTAAAAAGAATGAGCGCGGAAAATTAAAATCCTATTTTGTTTCTATAAATCGAAATTTATTTATAGAAAAAATCCTTTATGTTGTCATTTATATCACTACGAAATAGAGGATACCCATTTTTGCAATTTAAAAGAGCAACCCGTATAAGAAGATATTTCTGTTCTCAAAACCTAATAATAAAATTTCAAAAGAAATTTCATATCATATGATATTTCGTATCCAAAAAGTTGACTATTAATATTAAAATCATTCTATCATACAGTAATTTGAATAATAAAAATAAGACAGCTCTTTTCTCAAATATAATTGGCTCAAAAATCTTAAAATTTGGCTTTATAAAGCTTGTATACAATAATAATATAATTTTTTTACATTAGAAAGATTAATACCATTAAAAATACTCATAATTCCATAAGTATTTGATAAAAATTTACATCTAAAAAGTTTCACGCCCAATGAACAACTTACTTAACCTTCCAAGTTCTGTTTATTTAACCAAAATGATGGAATTATGTTATAAAGCGAAAAAAATCATGAATATTTAAACTTGATAGAAATTGATGTCTGAATAGTTCCGCATTCGCTAAACAACTTTATATTATCTAAAGTACGCGGATCTGTAATAATTGTCGTACAGTTTAGATGGCCCTATGTTTTAAGGTTTTTATCCAAAATTTTAAATATTATTTTTATAGTATTTACATATTCAGAAGACTAAAATTTATTATAATCTAAGTTTAAGTTTTTGTTATACGTTTATTTAAATATTATAATAAACTATATACTTATTTCAGAATAATTATAAATGAAAAATGATGTATCAATAGAAAAAAGAATATACAGGAATTAAACATCTACCACTTGGTTAAAAGATTCGGGGTAGGTTGCCTTTTTAATCGAAGAAGTAAGAGACAGAATCTTCGGAAAAGATGTTAAATTTTAAATTATCGTGGGTGTCAATATGGATCAAATTCGTGTCTGAAGGAATTTCAACTGTATTAATTATATTACTTGGAGATGAGCTAAAGTTAATAAATAATAGATTAAAAATGTATTTCTTTCTCTTAAGCAATATGGTAAGTCTTGATTTTTAATACCTTTTATCTCCCTCTTCTGAAAAATACGCTATTAAAATAATAATAAAAGTCAACATATATTAATAAATAATAAATAATTATGAGAACTTTTTAATGATTAGTTAAATTACCATCAAATTCTAACTTATAAGGGTGTTCTTTTTTTTGTTTTATGGTCTTTTTGATCTTTCTCTCATCATGTCTATTCGCTTCCTCTGCCAATTTATAGTATTTATTTCGTTCATTGGGAGTTAAATTTTTCCAGCCTTCTGCAGCGATGCCAGACATTTCCTTAATTGTGGTATTTGGAGAGGCTTTTATTATTTCATTTACTATTTCTCTGCGGTATATGATGAACGCATTAGGACTCTTTTTCTTCTTTTTCGGAAACTCAAATATGAAATTATCTTCGACTATGATATATTAAAGCGCGAGAAGAACAAAAGATGTTGGAACTGGTGTAAAATTATTATTTTTTTTAAAAAAAACAAAATAATACCTTCTCTTAAATTAGATGAGTTCATTGAGTAAGTTACTTTTGAGTGAGATTTTTCATTAATCTTATCGGCTTCAGATTCTTTTGAAACATTTTCTATAAAATTGATAAAAGTTAATTATATTATTAAGACTTTAAATAAATAATATTTTGTTTTTTAATGAGGTTTTTCATTAAATTCAGGTCCAAGTATCGAACATCGCGTCCATAAAATTCAATAATTTTTTCCAACTCTTTTTCATACCTAATTTTTCTTTCCGCGTTATACTAATAAGCAAATTTTCCATGTTTATATATTTCATAACTAACATATATTCGTTAGTTTCAAGATCTTTTGTAATACCATAATACCGATTAATATGTCCGTATTCATTGTAACATTGATAGTATGATTTTAGCTAAAATTAAATAATTGATTAAAGATTTTAATAATTATGTATCGTTACTTGACGTTAAATAAGTATAATTACCTCATTTAAAAGATTCCTTTTATGATTTATACTATCTATAAATCTTTTTATAGCAACAATTTCATTTTTTTTTCTAGAGTATCCTGTACCATCACTTATTCCGCCATCTAACCAAGTTGCTTTATATATTATACCAAAATCGCCTTTGGCAATTTCTTTTAAATTTGTAATTCGAGAATACGGTATCCATTCTATTATAGCTTCCGAAACGGACTTTACACACAATTTTTCTTTAAAAAAGTCATAAACGTTTAATGGATTATCATCATAATTGTCTATATCCTTCATATATATGTTTTTAAGATCATTAACTATATTCCTTTTTTTATAAACAAAATCGTCTATTTCATTACTTCCAATATTTACAATTGTATTGCCCATAAATATTGGAGTTACTCTTTTACATTTTTTACAATGAGTTTGACATGTAAGCCCAAAAATGATATTGGTCGTTAAACAATATCTGCATCCACAATAAATTATAAAGCAATATGAACACCACTTTTGATTCGCACCCCCAGATAAAAGTTTTGCTTTACATCTTACACATACGTAAAATGTATCCCACCATGGTAAATAAAAGATTGGAATGGTTTCCTCGGTTGTTGAAGACATTATAAATTCATAAGAAATTGGATAACAATCTGAACATATTTTAAGTTTTTCGTATAATAAAGAGGTTTTGTAAATTAATTTTCCACAAAATTTACAATCTTTTTCACTTTCAATTATCATATTTTGTCTTTCAAAATTAAAATCATCATCATAATATGCCAAAGAATTTGTTGGTATTTGTTTGAAATATGAAATTATTGAGCAATTTTTGCACCATTTTTTAATACTTCTTGTATAAAATTCTTCATTTCTGATCGTTTCATGTTCATTACATTTAGAATTTATAGTACTTATGTGTATATCTAAGTATGTAAAATTATCAGTTATATCCGTAATATAACGTAATAAACATTCTCTACAATATTTTTGTTTAAATAAAAGTGTCTCGGAATATTTATTTCCACAATTATTACATTTATCATCGTTTTGATTAAAAGGAATAAATAAAATTGGTATTGGACTAGGTTTAAATTTATCAAAAAAAAATTTCTCGCAAGTATTTTTTATAAATTCCATTTTGTGAAAGTGGAGAGAGAAAATGGAAAAATAAAGAATATCAATATCAAGTCGATCCGTAATAGTTATTTAGTTGTGAACCAATTAATTTTGGTCCGTTTCACATAATTACTTAATTAAGTTTGATCAACAGTGTTTCACAGACAATTACACAATATTACGGAAAATATAATTATGTAATAATTATACTTTTTATAAATTATACTTTTTATAAATTATACTTTTTATAAATATATATAAATATAAATTTCACGTTAATTAAAATAATGATCCATATTCATATTAAATTATAATAATGATGTACAATATTATTTTATATATATATCAAAAATAATCATCAGTACGGTTTTAACTCTTTCACTTAATGTAAACTTTATGAAACAATAATGGCGTGAAATCCACAATTTTTTTTATGTTAAATACGCCAACATAAATATTTTTTAATAATTGGCAGGATGAAAGTGATGATGATAGTGATTTAAACGAAGAGGAAGAGGATTCTATTGCAGTGTTTTCACAAAAAAGCAAGTGTTAAAGAAGTCATTTATTCTACAATTCCAATTGAATATCCAAAGACATCAGAAGCTGGGGTCGCAACTGTATTCAATATTACAGGATGGACTAACCCAAGAGATTGTTGGAATAATGTAAAGAATTATTTTAATTTAATTTTATTAGTTGTTTTATTTTACTTAATAATTTATTTAATAGTTAAATACTTTCTTTAGATCCCAATATTCATTTAGCGGTGGAGGTCAAGGGACTACCCATTTTTTGATAATGTTAGTGTTAAAGAAAGAAGAAAATGCATGGCATAAAACACTATGAATACATTGATCCAAATATAATCATAATGAAGTTGATTTTGATTCAGATGATTGGATTAAAATTAATCATAAACAAGTTGAAAATAAAACTTATACGTATGTATAAAATTAGATTGAATAAAGGATATATATTATGGCAAATAATTAATTACTTTAATTATTTTAGTCTTTAGCTTGGAAGTTTAGAATCCAAGTGTAGATTTAAGCAAAATGGAGAGTATAACAAATAGAAAAAGTCAAGGTAAAGAAAAGGAAGGAAGTAAAACAGACAAAGAGCATCCCTCCGAAGGTCTGAAATTTAATATTAATTGATTAATCTTCATTTATAGATTTAATTATGTAGCCATATGCGCAATTCTTGATAACAAAGTTGCATTTGGTTGACGTGATTCAACTGGATTCAATAAATTATCAACCACGTGATGGTCTACTATTCCGCCTTTCAAACAAATAGTATTGAATGTTTAAATTTTGAACGAAACTAAGTCCAAATTGCGGAAGCGAAAAGATAGAATCTAGCAAGATGTAGTTTAACTTGAATGAGAATGAAAATTTTACTGTTCTTAATGGACTCGATTTTATTCTGAGCATAAATAAAGGAGAGAAATGGTTTTTACCGTGTTATACTTGCAAATTTGACGGCAAAACGGACAAAGCCGTTTTTCACCAACACAAGCTATTACAAAATTTTACAAAAATTCCGTCTTTAATAATGAAGATCGGAGAATACTGAATGAATTTTTGTTTAAATGCATATGATTGGCAAAAATGTGACGATGAAAAATATAACGTCAAGATTTAAAAACACTAATAACTACTCATTGGACACTTTCCAGTACAGTAGAATTAATTGGATCACCATTATTGGATTATGAAATCTAATACAAAAAATCTTTGCTACGAACAAATATTTTGACAAATTTTTTGTGAAAAATCAGCAATAATTGAGTTTCGCACATCCCTTCAAAAAATCTATCTACTGCCTAAGCGAATGTGCATTAAATACACAGTACTTTGTCATACCGGTTGTACTGAAATTGCACCATTTAGACGGGTTTTAGTCTCATCAGATCCAATATGCGAAAGAAAGGAAAAATTATATCAACTTGGGTTCCTTCGCAAGATACAATTGATGTTTCGCAATGTAATAAAAGGAATGCAGGATTTTTTCGAGTGTTGAGAAATTTACTTATGATAAATCTAAAGACAGTTTATCGCTAAAGGAATATTATAGCAAAAGTATGTATTTATTTAATTATTTGGAGTAAACTCGCACTTGAAAAAAATTAATTTTTTGGAAACAAGGTTTAGGGGCTCTTATAAGACATCATCAAGCGAACAAAAAGTAATGATCTTAGGAATATTGTGGAAATCATATTTTTGATTTCGACTAAAGGTAATATTTTTTAGTGATTCTTGTATTAATCACCGTTTACAATATTCACGCATGAAGAATTTGATGAATATCGTGATTAGCTCGTCCGCAAAAATGGTAAATTATTTAAGTATCCGATTCATCGTAAGCTTCCAAAAATTAGACAAAGTTGGGCAGTCTTGACATGTGATTAACGAATGAAGATTTTAGGGAATATGTAAAAGCTGTAAAAGAAATATTCTTTAGAAAAAGAATGAGTTGAAAGTTCCGCGTCATTATACGTGGTTTACAACTTCAAATTTTCATGCAGGGATCGATTTTAGAAGAGCGGCTCTTATGAGCGATTTGATGGCGCTAGCGTGAAGATCTGATTAAACAGTTAATCTTTGCTTGTGTATCTGAGGAAATGGAAAATATTTAACTGAAACAGGGACCAAGGCGCAAGATTACAGGTAAATAAATTTTGGAATTTTGTATTGTGATCTGACTGAATCCAGCCTTTTTTCCTCATTCCGCAGGTTTTAATTGGAAATTAATAAATTTTTATTAAATATTATACTTGTATACTGTACAGAAAAAAATTGTTTCTTTACAAAATAGAATTCGTCTTAATATGTTTTTCTAAATACAAGAAAAAAAACAAAATATTAGATTTGTAAAATATGAAATGTTTTCTATATTGAGTTTCGGCATTTAACTCTCCAGTTCTGCATCCCCAGTCTTAACATGTTTTCCTACATACCAGTACGTCAATATCAAATATAAATATTATTATTTCATGCACAAATGCAAAGTAAATATGTGCTTACTGTATTGAGTCTCAGTATTTAATTCGTTAACCCGTTTTCTTGGATGTTGTGTAAAATCATTTCTAATTTCTTTTTCTATGGTTGCTGGATGTTGGGTGTTCGTAAAACTATGAAGTGTAGAACTTAAATTCGGGCTAAATAAATATTATGAAAATAAATTCTGATCAGCTTAAAAAATTACAATAAACGGATACATATAAATTAAATTAATTCAATACCATTGAACATCATTTATATCAAATCTGTATTCCTTTGTAATATATTCTGTGTATTAAATATTTATAGAAATAAGGTTAATAATATCAATTAAATCTATTAATGTATCTGAAGGATTATACATCAATTGCAGCATAATGAATACATACCTTGTTTTATGCCAAATGAATCCGCTGAAGTTGATTTACTAGAAGATGATTTAGAGATTCCGATCACAACAATTGTATTTGAATGAGATGTTTCTGTAGAATTAGGATTTAATTTCCTTGATTCAATTAATTTATTTCTTGCTTTTTCAGCTTCATCAAATTCTACAGCTTCTTCATTATACCAGAGACTAAAAGTTTCACGAATTTCTGTTATTGAAGGTCTTTTTGATGGATCGGCATCCCAACATCTTTTCATTAAATTGGCAAAACATTCAGGAGTATCGTCTGTAATTTTAGGCCGCACTCCATCAATAACTTTAAGAGCGAATTGGACATCATGTTTAAGGTTGGAAAAAGGTTTACAACCCGTTGTAATTTCCCACATAATCATGCTCATGCTATATACATCAGATGATGTTGTTGATTTTGAAAAACTATTACTTTTAAGTATTTCTGGTGCGAGATAAGCCATCACTCCATATATTGTATCATTTGACGAAATATTATTTACAGATTGTACGGGCTGTGATAATCCTAAATCTCCAATTATCCATTGTCCAGTTTTCCACTTTCGATATGATTTAACTAATAATATATTTCCGCTATGAAAATCCCGGTGTATAAAGTTTGCATTATGAATCGTTTCGAGTCTAAAACGGAAAAAAATTTAACAATTAGTATCAATTGATATAAATTCATCAAAAAATGATGTAACTATTATTAAGTACCCGCAAGAAATTTGCCAAAGAATATCTATCTTCTCTCTCCATGTAATTTTTGTAAAATTTTTTTGTAAAAAACTATGCAAATTTCCCCCATCTGCAAAGTTCATTACTAACATATATTCATTTTCAGGATTTTTTGTAATTCCATAACACCTAATTACGCGTTCAAATTCATAACATTTATGACATGATTTTACCTAAATTTAACGGTTAATAAAAACCAAAAATATAAAATTCAATAAATATAATAGTGATAAAATATATTATGTATAATTACCTCGTTTAAAAGATATTTATTAATATGCTGTGAATTAAAAAATTTTTTGATAACGATCGTTTCATTTTCCATTCTATAACAAGAAGAATATTCTGCTCCATTTATTCCTCCATCCAACCAAGTTGCCCTATATATAGAACTAAATCCACCTTGTGCTATCTCTTTTAAATTTTTAATTCGAGAATATGGTATCCATTCCATGACAGCTTCTGGTTTAAAATTTTTGTATATTTTTTCTTTAATATACTTATAAACATTTAATGGTGTACTACCATATTTATCTATATCGTTGATATAATCTACGATATTAAAATTATCAATTATATTTCTTGTATTATAAAGGAAATCACCTATATCATTATTTCCGATATTTATATTTGTTTTATTCATTATAATTCGTATGGCCCTTTTGCATTTCTTACAATGAGACTGTTTTGTGTGTCCAAAAATCATGCTTGTCGTTAAACAATACCTACATCCACTATAAATAATAAAGCAATGCGGACACCATTTTTGGTTTATGTATTCGAATAAAAGTCTTGCTTTACATATTACACACACATGGAATGAATCCCACCATGGTAAATTAAGAATTAAAATAGTCTTTTGAGTTGAAGTTGATTCTATCAATTCATAAGAAATTTGATAACAGCCTGAACACATTTTAAGCTTTAGGTCATGTAATGACGAAGTTGGATAAATTGTCTTTCCACATAATTTGCAATCCAATTCACTTTCAATTATCTCATTTATTTTTTCAAAATCCAAATTACTATCACAATAGGCTAGAGAATTTGAGGGTATTTGTTTAAAATATGAAATGACTGAACAATGTTCGCACCAATCTTTGATATTTCTTGTATAAAAATCTTCATTCCTCTTCGTTTCATGTTCATTACATTGAATAAACCCTTTTGTGCTTATATGTAAATCCAAATATGTACTACAATCATCACTTGTTATTTTGTTAATATAACGTAATAAACATTTTTCACAATACTTTTGTTCGAATAAAAGAGTTTCGGAATATAATTCACCGCAACGAAAACAATAATCTTCACTTTGATCAATAGGAATAAACTCAATCTTAATTGGACTGGATTTTAATTTTAATGTTGAATTTGTTGAGTTTTCGTCATTTCTTTTGGGTTCCATTTTAGTATTTGTTAATAAGGAAAAAAATAATTTAAAAGAAGTTGTTTTGGCGATATATATAAACCAGTTTCGTTACACTAAATTCTTTTTTTTAAACGTAGTCATGTGAACATTTCAGCATATATAATTATATATAAGCACGAGTTCGCGATAGGAGCTATTTTCTTATTTATTAGACGAGAGAAACAGATTCAATTTTAATTAAAAGAAACCAAAACTCTTCTATCTTCTAAACGCACTTAAAATTAAAAGACTTTACAGTTAAATTATTGAGCTTTTTTTGGGCCAAAAAGTAAGTTTGCTGAACAGGTGGTTGTGAAAAATATTGATGAATCAGTAACTTCTATTCGGTATATATCGATCCTATTTCAATATTTCAATATTTTCACACAACAGAAACTTACGAATACTTCTACTATACTGATATATAAATTATTTATTTTTAATTTTAGTATTCTTATTTTCGGAAATTCCGCAAGTTGTATTACGAATGCTTCATTTTAAATTCTAGATGTTGTTATCAGTCGTGATATGAATTCTAAATACAATAAGATATTACGGATACTTATTTCAATGAGCAGGTATAAAAGTGCTTTAATGTTTATTTTGTTGTGATTTAATTAAGTTTAACTTAAAATAGAGGCGACTCGTTTTACGCACACTACTTGAAAATTATTTACAAAATTATCCTGTAACATTTTATCAGGTAACTGGTATTTTTGATTAATATAATCGATGCACCGTCATCTTAATACGAGATCAAGGTCAGTTTCTTCGACAGGGACGAACCGGACGATGTATATTAATGTACGACACTTTTCGACATCCAATTCTGCACTTAATACCATCAATGATTTTGGTTAATTTCTATTATATTAGTCTTATTTTGTCTTTTTTTCTCTTTCAAGATAATATCTTTAGTTACAGTCCAAGTAAGCACAAGTTATTTTAATGCACTCGACTATTTATTGTACACAACAAATGATATCAAAATACTTACGTCTTTATATTGATGGAAGCGATCAACACTATTGCTTTATTTTTCTTCCTGGGATTTGATACTGCTCCTGGTAGTTAGAAATTCAGCAGAACGAGTTATGAGTAATTTTAAGATAGTAACTTGATTCGATGAATCCTTAATCCAAAACCCGATCTGATATAGCAATCTTAGAAGATAAGTCAAGAATTCACAAATCAGAATTTGATAAATTTAGATTCACGATTCAATGAACAAGGAATCTTGGTATTATTTTTATTTTTATTTTAAGAATATACATGTTAATATTATTAATAAGTACTTTTTTTTTGTGACAAATAACAAAACCATTTACGCATACAGTGAGAATACAGACTGTCTCATTAATTATAAAACTACCCTAGGCGACTTATCATCATGACGGTCTTTTTAACCTATAAGTTAACTAGCATTCCATTTCCATCCTATTGTGGCATGGTAAGCTTGATATAAAGGCATGTGTTTAAGTATTTATAACTTTTATTTTTTAAATATTTTACTAACCAATGTCATTATAGGCATTGAGGGGATAGTCATTCCGAGGCCAATTTATAATAACTACTGGCAACAAACGATACGAATCCTCGAAATTTTAACCATACTAAAACAAAATACAGTTCACCCTCTCTATAGTGAATTTTTATATAGTGAATAACTTGCTATAATGAAGAAAAGTTCAGGTACAGATTTTTTTTATTTATAATAAAATGACCTTCAGTATAGTGAATTTCTCACTATAACGAATTTTAATCTCCAGACTCCAGCCCATAGAATTCACTATAGTGAGGGCGAACTGTATAGTGAATCTCCACATGATACGTCTTATATTCATAATTTTGATAAACCCATTTAAATAGTGCCGAAATCCACCATATCTTCAATATTTCGCAATCAACTATTTCCTGTGGTTGAATCCATGGACACGTCGTATAAAGAATTTGATGGACAATAATCCTATTACATCGTTAAGAACATCGTTAAGAACAAATCTAAAAATCCAAAGAGGAAATTCAACAAGTTCTGAGAGATGCACAGAAATCATAAGATGAGAATGAAATATCTTTAGAAGAAATTATGGTTGATGAAATCTGACGAATGAAGGAGTCGTTTGATAATAAACCATCGGAACTTGAGGAACATTTAATTCGCCAATTCATATTGTTTGTGAAATAATACTACACTTACTGTAGAATGTTGATGGAAATTATAGCTCAGTCGATTTTGTTAATTGATCAGTGGGGAGAACCGTTGATGAGTTATATATTATCTACACGTGACAAATGTTAGAATCATCACGTGACTGATTTTTCCTGTTAATTATAGTCATCTTTGTAATTAGTCCGGAACGAAGCGAAAGAAGTTTTTAAAATTGTTTCTTCAGTAATATTCAATTTTTTAGTAATGAGATGAATTTATTAATTTAATGAAACTTAATGTATATGCTTTATATTATTAAAAAAAAAAAGAAAGAAAATAAAATAGATATAGCAACTTAAAAAATAAATACTAACTCTAACTATTATCTGAAACAAAGAGTTTTTTTTTTAACAAAAAAAATAAGCTTAAATCCGTAATTTAAATTGATAATTTAATCTGCAATAATTTTATTTGGAATAATACCATGGAACAATTGGAACATGGAACTCTATTTGAATGTAAAATAATCTAATTAAGAAAGGATCGAATTCTGCAGAATTTCAATAAAGCGGAATCAGCTGATCGGAAATTTTTAATACAAAAATTCCTTAAATATTGTCATGGACATTTTTTTTAAAAATATATATATATATGTATTGCATATTCATATCATTTACGTTATAACAACATGAAGGATATAAATAATGATTCATTAAATCCAACCTCAAAATTAAAGTCTAGCCCAATATCAATTGACTTTATTTCTTTTAGCCAAAACGATATTAATTGTATTAAATGTGGAAATAAATACTCCGAGACTCTTTTATTTGAACAGAAATATTGTAAAAGGTGTCTTTTACTTTATATTAATAAAACGACAACTGATAATTGCATATATTTAGATCTACACATAGCTACTATAAATTCTCAATGTAGTGAACATAAAACAAGGAGTTTCTTTACTCAAGAATGGTGTGACAACTGCTCGATAATTTCATTCTTTAAACAAATACCAACAAATTCTTTAGCAATATATGATGATGATATTAGTTTTGAAGAACAAAATATAATAATTGAAAATGAAAAAAATTGTAAATTTTGTGAAAAAATAATTTACGAAACTTCTTACGAAAAACTTAAAATATGTTCAGATTGTTATCCAATTTCATATGACTTTATGGTTTCTTCGACAACAAAAGAAACTATTCCAATCTTTTATTTACCATGGTGGGATACATTTTACGTATGTATAATATGTAAAGCAGAACTTATATGTGATAATAATCAAAAATGGTGTCCGCATTGTTTCATAATTTACAGCGGATGTAGATATTGTTTGACAACAAATATTATTTTTGGATATACAGATCAATCTCATTGTAAAAGTTGTAAAAGAGTAATGTCAATCACTACGACTATAAGTATTGAAAATGATGAAATAGATGATTTTATTTATAATAAAAGGAATATAATTAATAATTGTGATATAAATGTGGATTATATGAAAGACATAATTAAATATGGGGATAATCCATTAAATGTTTATGACTTTCTTAAAGAAAAGATATATTTTAATTTTAATCCAGAAGCTATAATGGAATGGATACCATATTCCCAAATTAAAATATTAAGCCAAATTGCAGAAGAAGGATTCAATATTATTTATAAAGGGATTTGGATGGATGGTGGAGTACATGGTGCAAAATATTCTAATTGTAATAGAAAAAAGCGCGAAATTATTACCGTAAAAAAATTTATCAATTCAAAAGATATCAACAGACTTCTACTTCATGAGGTAATTAAATCTATATTTTTTATTTTTTATTATTGTTTTTTAAAAAATTCCATTATTATTATTCTCAAAATAATAAAATTATTTAATATTAGTTAAGATTATATTACCAATGTTATAATAAATCTTGCCATATTCTCCGGTATTATGGCGTTACAAAAAATGATGAAACAAATGAATATATGTTAGTTATGAAATATATAGATGGAGAAAATCTGCATGATTATTTACGAAAAAATTTTAAAAATATAACGTGGAAAGAGAAATTAGAAATTTTGTTACAAATTTCAAATGGGTATTTATTTTTCTTTTTTAAACATTATTTGCAATTACTAATAAATCTTATTAATTATTAATTATTATTTTTGTTTAGACTTAGAATTATTCATGATGCAAATTTAGTACATCAAAATTTTCATAGTAAGAATATATTATTAGATAAATCATATAAGTCATATCAAAAATGGCAATTTGGGCAATGGTTAATTGGATTATCGCAACCTGCAGATAACATATTATCAAATAAGGTATCATATGATATTGCACCAGAAATATTTAAAGGGACTGCATTTTCTAAAAATTCTGACGTTTATTCTATGGGTATGGTTATGTGGGAACTTACATCAGGTTATAAGCCTTTTGCTAATATTGAACACAATACCTCTCTTATCGATGATATTATTAATGGAACAAGGCCTGAAATTACAGATGACACTCCTGATTGCTTTGGTAATTTAATAAAAAGTTGTTGGCATTATAATCCAACAGATAGACCTTCTATAAGTGATATATGTAAAACTATTGATGATTGGTTAATCATGGAAAAAAATGTTGAACTATTTAGTCTGGCTGAAGAAAAAAGACTCGAGTCAATACAATTAGAAAAACTTAATACAGAATCTACTAATAAATGTTATTCAAAAGTAGATTGCAATAAATCATTAAAATCTTTGATTTCTGGGTCTTTGTCGTTTTCGATGAATTTATTTAATATGAAACTAGGTGCGCATTATTACCCTTTTGGCCTTTCATCATTGAAGATTTTGTGCGTGTATTTTTACTAATACATATACAACATTTTAATATTTAGAACATAGCTTAAGAGAACTTGAAAAAAATGATATTCAAAGGTATTACATAAAAAAATAGATGTTTTTTTGATCTATTATAACCTGAATTTCTATATTAATTTTTTTTTTAGTTCATCTTCAGAATATGTAACAAATACACTTATTTTATCTAAAAATCCTTCTAGCAAGCATAGTATTGAAGATGAAATTCAAAATAACGGTTAGTAAACTTACTTTTTACATTAAAGAAATTTTTATGTATTTAATTTTGTTAATATATGTTTGTTTTTAATTTAAAATAGAAAAACGTATTAAAATTTAGTATCTTATTAACGTTACAAGAGACGCATGATATTATTAGGTGAAAGGTTAGAAAGTTGTCACATCTTATCGCTTTTTATTTCATTTTCCCAATATTCTGAGTTTTAGATATGGAGAATTTTATTTTTATAATGTGGTATACAGTTTATACGCATAAGACAATTTCAATAATTATTTTACTGTATTTACTATTTACATATTTATTAAACGGTAGTAGGATATTTAGTATTAAGCAGAAATATATAAAGGGTTGATGAACTAATATATTATTAGAATGCTATTGCATCAAAAATATTAATATCAATTAGAGGGGATTACGAAAAACAATGCAAATAGCCCAATAATTATTCACTTGGGATTTTTTTTACCAAATTCCACGATTAGTAAAACAATAGTTATTTTTCTCTAGTTTCAAGAAGTATTGGTGCTTCTCAGAATAAAAAAAAATTGAAAATAATGATTGAGATAATCTGCTGAAAAATTATAGTCATGAATGGCTGAATGGCGTTCACGCTTTATTTTCTATATAATAAAAACATTGTGAAAGCAATAATAAATACAAAAATTAGAATTTTTGTTGCGTCAAAAACTCGCATCAACTTTGGAGACTTATAGCATAATGTCGACGGTATCTAAAAATGAATAAATGATATAAATAATGCTGAACTGCCTTGATCAAGGTATCGTACTGTATAGCCTCAAACGAATAGATAAAGAATCCTATCTATAAAATTATTTCTTTTAATTGAGCATCTTATTTAAATTTAATCAAATTTAATCAATAAGCTTTTACAGTTAACGAATTTTGATTAATATACAACAGATCTTCGGTTATAACATACAATCTCGTTACGCCGAATTTTTATTGACTACCGTTTAACGAAGCGAAGTATATAAACAGCACACGGCTTTTTGAAGAAAACCTTTATTTTATCTAGTTTTATGCCAGACAAATTTTTAAATTTCCTACAACGTCTGATGAATAAACAATTCCCAACTATTATTAAAAAATCTTGTAAAGTTTCATTCAAGTAAGGCGATTATATCAACTCTAGATCGATGTACATGACCATATCAAAAAATTTAGCCGAAATCAAGCATGCTACTAAACATATAAATTGGCCGAGAATCTTTCTGATCAATGGGAAATTAAAATTAAAATCGCAGGCTCGTTAAATGGTGTGATGATTTTAGTATTAGAATGTAATGAATCAAATGAAAATTTTAAAAAGGAATACCCTGTAACCAATTTAATGAGAGATCACATATGGTCCTCAACAAAAAGCAGTTTCATACCTTACGCGGAATGATATTAGCGAAATTAGGTAGAAATGCAGAAGCAAATGATAGTTTTTCTCGGGCAGAAATACGTCTTCCTAAAGCCTGGGCAGCTTGGGGTTTATATAATAATGCCAAATCAAGAAAGTTACTTATCCGTATTTTGTGGCTTTTATCTCTTGAGGACCTTCAGAGCCACATATCACGAGTGTTTGAAATATATAATAGCAAGAGTGTGGACTCGGTAGCGGCCAGACTTTGCGACTAATAAAATATCATTTACATAGTTTTGCATTGTTGATTTTAAGAAATTTTTCCGTTATTTTTTTTTTTTTTTGTAAAATATCTACTCTATCTAGACTAAAAAAGAAAATAACGTTTATTTGTCGTGAATCAAAATCTTTGAATTCCTTTCATCCGAAACTTCTTTATATTAATCTCCGAAATTGTCTTGAGCTTTATGAGTTCTTATCGTTCCTTCTTTTTTCGCATTTATATCTTCTCCTCGGTATTGTCACGTGACATCTTGTCAGGTTTAGATTTTTTTTTTAACCAGATATTTGTCCGTAACTATCTGAATAACCGAAAAAAAAAGAATTTTTCTGGTTCATCCGATTAAATTCGGTTACGGATCGAATACTACTGAAGAAAAGCCTGCCTTTAGGTTTTCCGTTTTATCTTTAGATCATCTTTTTCTAATATAATCTAAGGTTCATCATTCTATCTTCGTTAGAAAAATAAAAAAAACCATAATTTATCTTTTGTAGACTCATTATTTTACTGAAAACTCCTGTATACTTTTCCGCCACTTCTAGTATTATTTAATATCGAATTTTAATTGACTCGAGTCAATTCTCTAATATATACTGTATTATATATAATTGGTATTCTCAAAATTTATAATTGATCAAAGTTTGCTGACTCAATAACTGAAGCCAAAAAGTACGAATTATTTGCACCGTAGTTAATAAAAATAAAAATAAGGCCCTTCTTGTAATATCTTTGCTATATATGGTCTATTAGGTAACATGGCGTCACAGTTAATTGAAATTATGACTTAATTTTCAGCACTTCTGGAGGATTATACGAACGTTTAGATGTGTAACTGCTTTATAGCCGTCAATTTTTATGTTGTTGACTTCATCATCTACTCTCTTCTTTCACAATGGAAATTTATTTATAATGACCTAGATACGGAATTATTATCATATACTGGTAATGAAAATGTTGCGGTTATTTATTTCAATGGTTATTGCCTATAGTAATATACAAATAATTTGCCAAGGGTTGATTAAGTTTAACTGTACGATCATGAGGACAATTGTGCTCGATTTATCACCATTTTATTTTTGCAGAAAAACTGTGTAAAATCACAGAATGAATAAAATTTATGATCGTTTAAAAATTTAAAAATATTTATTTTTGTATACTTGCTTTTTTTTGATTGTATCTGCAAAGGACAAGTTATTTTAATTAATTGTTGTAATTAAGTAAATAGATTGTTTATTCTAATGTTTAGACGTGATGATAACCCAATTACATTATTTTAAACAACTAATACGGTATATCTAAATTAATTATCATGTAAATTTTCTAATTCAGTGCACAAAGAAACCAAACAAATTTATGAAAACTCATTACGGTATTCGGCTCTCTAATATATAGAGAACTTGCAGGAACATAAGGGTGGTAAGGATATACCACCAAAAAGATTTTAATAAAGTTGTTTAAATTCGGCTTAGAATGTTTCATTTTTTTGAAAATAAATCGATTAAAATTTTATGAGGATAGAAAGCACACACACTATGCGAAAAATGTACAAAAACTATGCAAGTCTGTAAATAAGATATATTGAAGAAAAAAACACGTTGTCCATATATTTCATGTATTGAATTATAGTCATGTCATAATCAAGTATAATCGAAAAATATTGATTTTCCGATTAAAATCGTTAGTTGATCGATTTTTACGTAAATAAATCGCATAGTTATGATCGAATTCAAAAAATAAATTGATCCATTTCTTAGTCGATCGTGCTATGATGTTCCTTTTGATTCGACGTCAAAATTAAAATCTAGTCCTGTACCGATTTCGTTTATTTCATTTAATGAGGAAGGTAAAAGCTGTATTAATTGTATAAATATATATGCTGAGGCGATTCTTTGTAGGCGACAAAAATATTGCAAAAAGTGGGTATCACTTATATATCTAACGAAAAAAGTATTTGGACGTATATATATTGACAAGGATGTTAGAACGTAGTGAACATGAAATAAGAATGACAAAGAGATCACGAAAAATTCAAGAATTCTATAGAATTGCTCGGAAATATCATATTTTAAACAAATATATTATGATAATCTCATTGAATATTGGAGTTTTGCTAGACTCGATGATTACAAAAATTTATATAAAAATGTTATGTATTAAAAATGAAAAATATTGTAAAATATGCAAAAAATTATTCAAAGTGGAAAATCAACCTTGAATAAAAAGCTTGAGAAGTTCCCACCTGAGATGTATGCCTCCCCGAGTGCATAGTCTACCCTCTTTTTTAGGTTTGCTATTTCAAACTTTTGGTTTATATTGGTTGCAAAAAATCAAACATTTGGTGATAGGAATTGATAAATTATCAGATATGGTCTTACTTTTATTACTCTTCATCTACCTCTTCTTTTTTAGAACGTTTGATTTAAAGAAAATTCATATCTCATAATTGAAATTGGATTTCTGTTAGTATCTTAAACACAATTCATTATGCGATTTTGTAAAATGATTTGATTGGTAATTTTCAACAAATAATAACCAAAATCACCTCAGAATCATTTAACTGCGCTCACGTGATTACTAATGTGATCATCAAAAAATAGCATTTTTCTTTTTCATTCTACATTTTTGCTATTTAATTGTAGGCTCCGCGCGCCCGTTATAACGACACTCTTCGGGCCATTAGTAAAATTTTCTAATTGTCATTATAATAAGATTTATTATGTTTATATAATGACATCAAAGGAAGATGGGTTTCATCCAAGTCTTTAAACATCTTAGTCCTTACAAAAAGAAATAAGATAAAATGTTTTTTAAATAAATAATACTGTGCACAAATGATAAATATTGTACAATAGTACTTACAGTTTCGATATCTTGTATTCTTTCATAGCTAAAAAAATTGTGCATGCAAAAATAAATACAAAAAGTTTGATGTTATCATGTGATGCTTCTATGCTAATAACAGGTTTCTCAATAGGGGATGTTAAGTGGTCGGAAGCGATTTGAAATTATTTTAAATACAGATGAGTCGATTCCTTTACTACAATAAGTAACTTTACCTAAAAAATTGATGCCAATAAATTAATTAATTGTCAATAAAGAAAAAATGATTTCTAAAATGTGCAATTGCCTCGAACTACTTTAGAACCGAACGGTTTCTAACAACTAAAAATGTCGATTCTCATTATAGACAAGCTTAACTTCGTTAATTAAACTTGACTAAAAGATTATTATAAACGAGATTTACTAATATTATAATAAGAAAAAATGATACTCAAACCAAGCAATTCAACATCCCTATTTCTCAAGCTCAGTTCGTCTAAAACATTAATACGTTTCTTTATTCCGTTGTCGGACCGATTTCTGACATCAATTTTCTCAACATAACCTTTTCCCGACAACAATTTCCCGACAACAATTTCCCAACAGACAAATTCCTGAGTGGTCATTTCCCGAAAAGCATTATGAAATTTTCCCAAACTGATAAATCGCAAATATTTAAATTTTAATTAGTTTTAAAATATTGTAAGCATAATATGTGTAAATTATATGTCAAATTTCAATATCACCATAAAAAATTCACGCAATATTTCAGATCTTAAAAAACGCGTACGAGAGTACGAGATAAATGTTATACATGTTATACAGCGATTAAAATAGTAACAATTGTGCACTGACAAAATTTTCTGATAATCTATTTAGAATATAAACAACTTTTTATTCCTATTATTATCTGATATTAATCAATTTCTTTTATAAAATCACTTATATGAATCACTAAACTAGGATAACTTTTCACTTTAATATTATACAACCCAAATTCCTTCACTTCATTAATAGATGAAAACAAATCACTATTATAATCTCTAAAATCATATAAAGTATCTATAAAGAAAGAATCATAAATAGACAAATACTTAACCCTTTTATTTTTCATAATATATTTTTTTATATAAGGTAAAATACCTTGACCTTCTCTATTATAGATTAATAATTTATTAATAAAAATATTTTGAGAATTTTTTAAAAATATTTCAAAAGAACTTGATTTAATATGACGAAGATTTAAACATAAATATTCTAATTTATTAGGGAGAATTTGTCCTAAATTTTGTAATAAAATTGAACTAGATTCTTTATTATTATAAGATGATGATGAAGTACTACTTATTGAAAGATAATTAAGATTTTGTTTTATATTTTTAATTAAATTGATTATTTGATAAGTAATTTGACCTTCAAATCCATAAAGATCAAGAAATTTGATATTTTTACAATATTTTGTAATTAATTCTAATAATTGAAGTTTTTTTAATGAATCAATACTAAATCCATAACCAAAATTTTCTAAATAATCACCAGATTTTTGTAATAATAATTGTATTGATTTAATTTGTGTGATTTCATTTATAAATAAAGATTTCAATTTAAATGGTTTAATTAAATTAATAATTTGTTGGGTAAAATAATTATTTAAAGAAGAACAATTAATTATATGAACTGATTCTAAAACATTTAATTGTTCAAATATTTTATTTAAATTAATTATACCTTTAAAATCAACATAATAAAAAATTATTGTATTTAAAGTATTTGAACAATTATAATATTTTGATAATAATAATGATATATATAAAGGTGAATTATCATAACTTAATAAAATTTTTTTAAGATTTTGATGTAAATTAATTATTTCTAATATACGATTTTTGATTAATGTATATTCATTATTATTGTTGTAATGAGATAAATCAGATGAACTATAATCAATATAAAGATTTAAATTTTTAATATTATGAATGAAATTTGTATTTTGTAAAATTAATCCAAGAACATTATCAATACGTGTATTATAATAAATACGTGAGATCTCAATTTCAAGAGTATTTAAATTTACTTCATTCTCAACAAAAATATTAAATATTGATGTATCAATCAATCTTTTTAAATCAGATGCTGAATATAATCTATTCTCAGGTTTTAAAGTTCTAATAACAGCTTCAAACCATTTCTCGATAGAGAAAACGAATTTATATGTATTCAAATATTTTAAAAATTTTGAATAATTGAACATTATATTTAATGAATTATTATTAATAATATTATATTCAATTAATTTTGTTTTAAAATCATCATTTAAATTATTTAAATAAATTTCAATAAAATTATAATTTCCAGTAGGAATTGAAAATGGATTTTCCCATAATAATGGAATTGTTAAACGACACCAGAATCTATTAACTAAAATGCATGAATGTAAAATTGAATAATCATTTTGAAAATATTTTATAATTTCAAAAGTTAATTCAGGTAAATCTCCTGAAAACAGGTTTGAACATGTCATATTTGTAATTTGAAAAAAGTGAAAAAGTGAAAAAAAGAGAAGAGTAATTTTTTGTTTTACGCCTATTATATATCTATTTTCGGAGTAAATTTGAAATCCCATTATTGTCGCACAATTCATAAAAATTCAATTGTTTCAATAATTAAAATAATTAGGCGCAGTTTTAATCTAATTATGGATTAACATATTACATCAGAGATCATCAGGTGCGCAGTTTCAACAAATAGATATGTTAATTTCTTTTGCATTGGCAAATGAAAGTACTATTGTAAAATGGTGAAAAAAAAAGTATTTTTGCGGACTTTTTCAGGTGAAGATTGTTGTTGTATCTTTGTTTTCGATAAATATTTTGTTCGGAAATTGTTCGGCAACAGCTTGAATTGGACGAGAAAATGTCCGCAGCAGCGCGTATGCTTAGTAATAATGCTTAGCAATAATTAGAATTTAGGAATTTGCCACCATGCCATTGTGACAATAGATATGTCGATTTTAGCTTTTTTTAATTACCAACTGAATTACGTGAGCACGAGTATACAAAAAGTGTGTTGTTAATACTATATAAGTATGTCAATTTTATCAAATACTACTATATAGTCTATAGTATAGTGATTAACGAATTATAACGAAGATATTTTGTGTGACATACGTTAATAACGTTATATATAATACAATATCCAAAATTTTCCGGTTGGTATCAGATTTTTCTCATTCCGTCAACGAATTTTCTTATAGAGAAGGCCGATTTTCCTGGACAAAAAATTCGTTATAAGGCGGTTGTAAGCATACCTTCTATGGGCGCTCCGCGCTCCTTTCTCAGCCACCTTAATTAAACGAACGCTTATTTTATTAAGTTTATTGAAGTCTGAAATTCTAATCATGCAGAGCGAGCTGTTACAATTTTACCTTCTAAAATTTTTCTTAATAAACATTTTATTTACAAAAGAAATTGAATCCGATATCTCACTTTTAAGAATGTTTATTATACAATTCTTATAGTATTACATAGTAATAATATTCAAAAATTCAAGATATTGTAATCTACCAATTAAACTTAGTTAGGTATGGTACGTAAGCTGTATTGTAAAAAAGAATTACGGCGTGAAGTCTAAGGAAATGTGAACTTTTAGAATTTCGTCGTAACGCACCCGTGTCAAATTTTATCACGTGATTTTATCCGTCTTTTAATTCAGTTTATATATAACTACATCTCGATCAATTGTTTATATCTAGCCATACATCTAAAAAGTTTTTTTTGGCGTATTCTAGAAAATATGTGAAAAGTGAAAATTTGTTATAAAAAAGCTTCATCTGATGATCACTTTATTTATTAAATATTACACAACTCGTGCAACAACAACCCCACATACAGTACAATTGTACAATTAAAAAGTACAATAAATATAATAAATTTATCATGCGTTCGTTTATATTATTTATTATGATATTTTAATATAAATGTTGTTGTTAACAAGTATTGTTAAATTATTAAAAAAAAAAAGGAATGTCCCGTTTAATTAATTAATTTTTTTTTCTTTTTGACGGCTTATAGCCTTTATGAAACCAATTACGGCGCGGAATAATATCACATGATCACGATCTATCTAATCTTGTTTAACATTATCAATAAAAGAATTTTTTTTTTCTTTGTTAAAACAAATAGATCAAGATTATCGGCAAAATTTTTCCGATTAAAATATTTTCATACATCATAAAATAGGGAAAAATATTAATTAAATTTTTAAAGTTTTCATCCACTGATCCACGTTCATTGTTTTAAGAAAATGATTGGATACTTTAAATAAAAAAAAAAAAACTTATACAGATTATACATATTATACAGATGATACATATTATACATATTATACATATTAATACGTAAAGTTACATATAAATTTAGTATATTATTTTTTTTTTTTTTTTACAAAAATGGTTATAATAAATAAATTTTTTCATTCAATGTTAAAAAAAAGGAAATGTTTTTTTTTTATAAAAAAAATCTTTTGTACAATGTAACATTTTTTTTTTGTTATCTCCCGAGTCAATGCGTTCGATTATCAGTTAAGCTATACTTCATTTGTATATTTGGTATAGATATGTTTATTGTTACACTTAGATTATTTATGTGCACAAAGGGATGTTTCCGACATTAAATTTTGTAACGCCAAAACCCTATTTTATAACTCAACTTTATAGAAATGAATAAAAAAAAAAAAAATTTTTTTTGGAAATTCTTAAAAAAATTTATTTATTTTTTTTTTATTTTTATTTTGAAAAGTGTAAAAATGCATTATTATATTGCAAATAATCATTATAATAATAATATACGTGATGTTAAACATGATCTTTAAAAACTATGAAATCGTTAAAAATACAAGAAAAAAAAAAGGATGTTTTATACATATGTTTTTTTGTCTTAAAATACATTATAAAAAAGTAATTTAAAAAAATTCATTAAAAAAAAAAAATCATTAAATTTAAAAAATTTAAAAAGATGTATTTGTTGCCGCAGCAACAGCATCGTCAATAGTTAAATGGAAGAATTTCTTTGTTGAAATATGTGTTACATCTGTGCTTGTCTCTTCATCTACCTTTTCATTTATTATTTCATTATCAATTAAGATACCAAAACCTGCAAGTAATAAAATTTCTTCAATTCTTTCATTAATAATGTTGGCGAAATGATATTCGACTTGTTGATCCGCATGTTTGTTTAATTCTTTTCTAATGTCCGATAATGCTTGTATCCCTGTTGAATCAATAACACTAACTGCTGCTAAATCAAATACAACTGCATTTAATCTAGGTTTTGTTGCTTTAGCTTCTTCTTCTTTTTCAGATTTATGGGGAAGTTCATTCCATGGTCGATCACCTTTATTTTCTGCTTGTTTATAAAATCTTTTCGTGTTTGTACGAGCGTATTCAACAACTTGTGTATCAATATAATTTGAATTTGGATATGTGAGTGATTCTCTAAATCTAATAATTAGTACACCTTCTGGTGGATTACTCGCTGATTCGAATGATGGATGATCAATTGGAACGTATGCGTGTCTTTTTTCACCATCTTTTGTTGTTATAGATAATTGTCCTAATGAATCAAAACTTGGACGCGCTACTCTTAACAAGAGAACCACTATCGCAAGTAAAGCTGAAAAGTAGATTCCATACTATAATGTAAAATATATTGAAGGTTTTTTTTAGTACATCAATCACATACTATTTATTTAATCACATAACTATTTATTTTTTTTAAAATAAATAGGAAGAAATAATACTCACTTCGACGGTAGTGAAAAAAGTAACGACCACACCAACTAAAAAGACCATAAAATCCCAGACTAAAATAAAAATAATAAAAATTTTTTTTTAATATTAATTCTTTTTTGGAAAAAAAAAAAAAAAAGTTCATAAATAAACCTACATTGAATTTTCCAAAGTTGTTTGATATAATGAGGACTAGCTACTAAATCAAGCACAGCATGAATAATTACGGCACTATAAAAAAATAAATTTAATTAATTTTTTTTAAAATTTATAAAATTTATAATTGCTAAAGTTTCATCAATTACTTACGATAAAGTAGCATCTGGAATATAATAGAAAGCAGCTGTTGAATAAAGTGCAATAATTACAAGAATACCAGAAAAGACACCGGCTAATGGAGTACGTACACCAGATTTAGATTTAATGGCAGTACGTGAGAATGAACCCGTTGCAGGATACGCATGAAAGAATGATCCAATAGCATTGGTCACTCCAATAGCAATAAATTCTTGACTTTCAGTAACTGTAAAAAAAAAAAGAAATTTCTTATTAATTCAATTTTATCAAAATTTTATCAAAATTTTTGAAATAATTCCTTTTGAATTTACTTACTTTTATAATTGTTAATCCTTCCAAAACTTTTTGCAATGGCAACATGTTCCAAGATAAGAATAAATGTTACACTAATCAATTTACTGCCCAATTCGCTAAGCATATCACTACCAGCATTAGGAACTCCAACATGTAATCCGGAAGGTATGGTCTTTAAGATACTAATAGGGCTTGTCTTTTTTCCAATATTAACAAGGAAAGAAACTATTGTAGCAAAAATAACTATAGTAATGTTTCTAAGAATTTCTATGAAAAAGAATAATCTTTCACGATGAGGCCATCTTTTTGCAGCGTATCTTGAACCATATTTTACACTATAAAGGTAAATAAGAGAAATGAATCCGAATATTGCATCATAATTAGTTTTTGGTAAAGCAGCAAGAGTTCTTCCTAATACAAGATAACAAGGATCAGTGGTAACAATTTTTGGTATTCCCATTAATTTTGCTATTTGTCCTATCGAAATCGTTATGGCGGAACCCGTAGTAAAGCCAGCGATAACAGGAGCAGGAATAAAATCGACGACTAATCCAAGACGGAGCAATCCAAGAATAAGTGAAATAATTCCCGAAAACAAAGCAAAAGATGAAGCCAACTCAATAGCACTAAATTGGTGATTAGGTGATGCAAGTATGCCAGCAACACTTTGTCCAATAAGTAACGACATCACAGCTGTAGGTCCAATAGTGATATCTATAAGATTATTTATAGTATTTTTAGTAATGATGCATACTAACAAAAATCAATTGAAGCCAAAAAAAAAAAAAAAAAAAAAAAAAAATAAAAAAAAAAAACTGACCCTTGGATGTAGCAAATAAGAAGTAAAGGGATACACCCACAAATGAAGAATATAATCCATATTCAGGAGGTAAACCAGCGACTTTTGCATAAGCCATTCCTTGTGGAATTACAACTGCTCCCGCCGTTAAACCAGCAATTAAATCTCCGGCTAACCATATTAGATTATAACGTCCTATCCATCCTGCGATAGGGAATAATGATTTCACGTAATTTGCAGTATGTGTTGGTAAATGATGCAAAGTTTCCTTTGCTTCTTCTTTGATACCTGGTCTTTTTTTATGATATATGGTTGGTAACGTATCCGTCATTATTAATGATTTTTTTTTTCTCGTTTTTTTTTTGGAAAAAAAGATTTTTTTTTTTTATATTATTTGATTTTTTATTATTTTTTCTTAATTATCTTTTTCTTAAAAAAATTCGTTAAATTCAAAAGACGGGAAACTTCGTCTTTCGAAAAAATCAAAAAGTCCGGCAACTGAAAGCATTTTTATACAATGAGAGAAAAAAGATTATGATTGATCAGCAAAACTATTTTTTGATCCTTAAACCACAAAAAATGGATTTTTAATCACAAAAATTGCATCATATTTGTTTCGATTTTCGTTATGTACACATTAGATTAATTAATCTAGTCTACACGCAAAAAAAACCGATTTATTGGATTTATGTGATTATGTAATGTTAAACTTTACCATTTTTTTCAAGGATCTACAAGGATAAATAGGGATACAGATAATCTAAATCACGCTTATTTGTAATCCAAAAAAGCATGCGTGTTATCATACATGCATTTATTTTAAATAATAATAAATAAAAATAATAACGATCAACATACTTATTAATAGATATTATAGGGGTGTGATATTTACCTTTCAAAAATATGGTACGCGACACATAAAGAAATATAAGTACAGTATACAGTAGTATAAATTAAGAAATTTGTTACCCAAACGCCATGTTTTACAAAAATTCGTGACGAAAATCATCTGATGGGAACAAATTAAAATGAATTGATTGAAGTTTTTAAGATTTATTAATTAAATCGTTATGAAATTTTATGTTTCTCTTTTAAAATACACTTTTTTAAAAAAATTAATTTTGTAATTTATAATTTATATCCTAAAAGTTCTAACAGGAAGTAGATTACGATTACCATAAATGTATATCATCTGTTTATCAGATCAGAAATGAATCTAGATTACAAACGTGTTTCTATGATATAGTAGTAATAGTACATTTTATATATAGTAATATATATACAATATATACTGTTTATGTAACATTATACTTTCTTTATATCTGTATAAAAATAATTGTGTACCTGTAATTGAAAATTACCCCAGAAAACATGTAGAAAAAAATAAAATAAGATACGAAATTCCGCACATAGTTAGTCTAGAAGAAATTTATTAATTTTAAAATAATTGTTAATTATTAATATATTGTTTTGTGAATTTATTTGTGTAATGGCTGAAATGAAATGCTTAAGTGTTTTTTTTCTTTGTATTTAAAAACACGTACCGTACACATGCTAATATTTACGGGGCCCAGATTCTAGCCATTTCTTATCATATATTATTATATTATGTATTTTAAAACTGCTTTTTTAAATTCCCATATTTGTTCAAATGGTTACGGAGACATTTTATCATTGGTTTTGAATAATTTCGCTTAAAAGTAAACGCGGCGCTTTCCGTAAAGATTCCTTTTTTTTTTCATTCTTTCATCATTGAAAGCCTTTTTCTTTTTACGTGGAAAACAATTGAACTATTGAAGTTTCAATATTCTATCATTGACTAGTTATTGGTTCGATATGTATTAGTTGAGTATACCAGTATACCCGCCGTGTTGTATTATTCTTATTGTAATCATCAAATTCAGATAATCAGTTATACACGATAAGACTAAAACCATTAACTATCTCTTTTACTCTATAATGAAGGCAAATTTTCCTGAAAATCACGGTGAAACTGTCACAACCTACTGCTGAGTGATAGATAAGGAAAATCGAGATGCAAAGTGAAAATAAATTGATTAAAAATGTAATGCTTCAATGTAATGTTTCATGTTTTTGGTCCACATTACCATATAAATTATCATCCGTTATTATGTAAAATTATTAAGCAAATTGATTTCAGATAGTATATCGTTATATCAGCAGGTCAAAAAAAAAGGTCGTAAAATACTTCATTATATTAACACGTACACGAACGTTATTGTTAGTGATACTGCATTGTTTGTCAAAAAAATTTTTAATGGATCGTCTTTTTGGAAAAACTTTATTTTGTTAAGGTATGAATCCACACTGTGATAAACTCTAAAAAAAACATGTGACAAAATCAGGATGTTAAATACAAGAGATCGGCACTCATTAATTGTTAGCTCTCAGGCCAAAATTACATAACTCCTTTTTGATCTACAGGCAAATTCCGATAACCGATATAAGGTAAATTAGCATACCCAAACGTCACATTGAACGTTTAATCATTATTACGTAATTTGTTAAACAATATAAATTTGAAATCTTATTATCATTATATACAAATAAATTAAATAACAAATTAATATTAGTTATTTGTAAGTTGTAACGCCAAAGTTAATGTAAAAAAATTCCGGATTCCAATTAATAATAGCCAGTGTCAATATATATTATTATTATTGCGTTCAATAAATTACTACTAGAATTTTTTTCTCAAATAATATTATTTGTTTTCAGTATCATGATTCATGACCGACATGGTTATTTCAATTCATTGTATATTATAATTACTATATGAAGAGGTAAAAAAATATCGATCGAAAATCGATATTCACATAATATCTCTAGTCAAAAATATGGATTAATAATCGATTGTCGATGAATTGGTGGTCTGACAGGTTGACATTTCTGTCAATCTGTCAAATTTAACGGTTGGACACATGATATTTCGTTATTTGATTTTATTATGAAAATCACTGCCACAATTGTTCTTGAATTACCTTCTGCGATTGATTATGGATTTGATGTTAAAATTACTTAAAAAAAAGCATTATTTCACCTAAATATTTTGACGCTCTTTTGGGACAATCATTTCATAGACATGGTTATTTCGCTTTATTCATTGTATGCTGTAATTATTAGATGAAAGGTAAACATATCTGTCAAAGGTCGATATCCCATAGGCTATTAAGAATTTGTTATCAACCAAAATCAAAAATATTTGTTAATAATTGATTGTCGGTGAAATGGTAGTATGGGCAGATTGACATTGACAATCATTTCAACCAGCCTACTGGACAAACAAATATGATATATTTGATTCTTCAAGTATAAAAAAAAATTTCATATAATGAAAATCACTGCCACGATTGTTTGAGATTTTTTGACGATATTAAATTATCTTCCGTATGTGATTATGGTACTCAAAATTTGACGCTCCTAAGGATAAGGTAATATGGATAAAATATTAAGTAAAATTACGCAAGTTCGAATTTCGATATTTAATAAGAAATCACAGATCATGATCATCACTCCTTTAAAACATTAAAACACTCTCAATATTAGCTGCTGATCCATATTTTTCCATCCATTAATTGGTTAGCGTAAGGTTTAAATATTATTGTATAATGTTTAAACAACGACAATGGTTATTTACATATTTATGTCTATGTATTGATTCTACTTTTGTTGTCGCTTCAATAGAAGGATTTGTTTTGATTTCTTTCTTTTTTGATTTCCATTCGTAAGTGACTCTATAAATTTCTTTTGAAATCGTGAATCGGTGAAATTTTTATAAATGGATTATTTGTTCGTGGAATAGGATTGGACAATTATTTTCAAATCATTATAAAATATAAATTAACCGACCTTTAAATTAGTATGGAATACCAAACTCATCTTATTAATTCAGATTCGATAATTATCATGTACTCTGAATTTAAGGTATGTTTACTTTTTACTAAATATTTTCGGTGAAAATAGATCCTATTTATTTATTATTTGTTTTTTTTAATCCAAATTTGCAAAATAATAAAAATAATATACATAGTAATTAATACTTTGATCAATTAATAAAGCAGGAATCTTTACATTAATTTCGGTGTCGATGCTTTAGATCATGATCAATCTTTTCTTAAATCTTGAACTCGAGTCAGGACAAGTCAACCTGAGTAGAATAAGTCGATTCAACTCGAGTTAGAGTGTGAGCAAAAAAACCGATCGTAATTTTACCTGATACTGGAAGATAAATAGGCTAAAATTGATACTAGTCGCATGACCGATTTGACTCCAGTCAGAAAATCTGCGTAGACTCGAGTTTATTTCGTATAACCATTATCATTAAATTCGTTCGTTTGCTCGAGTCGAATTTACAAAGATTATCGAATTAAACCATACAAACTTTAATTTTTTGATTTTCATATTTGTAAAATAACCCGGCGACCGACTCTTAAATTTTTTTTTTTAAAAAAAGATTAATATGTAAAAATTAATGAAAATTTTAAAAAAATTCTCACCTCGGTATAGTGAAAATTTTTTCAAGAATTGATAATCAATTTGTTTTTTTTTTTAAAAAAAAAAAAACTTTATTAATATTGTAATAATTGTTTAAAACAACCTATTACAAACTAGACGACATGCATCTGCTAATAAAGTATCTACTCTAAAAAAAAACAAAAACAATTACAAATATAAAAAGAAAACTAAACTCAATATCTAATAAACCTAGCATTAGCTATTTTTAAATTTAATTTAACCTATTTTTAATTAAAAATTTACGCTAACACTCCTCATTATTATTAGTAGACCACCCTTAACCCTTTCTTATTCTTTTTCTTCAATTTTCCACTTTTTTTACCTTTCCCCCCTTGAGCAGATTTTTCTTTTTTCGCAACTATTGTAGACGTTTTTTCTGATCCGCTCTCCTCATCAGTACCATCACTACTACTGTAACTGCCCCCCTATTCAATTCTTCCTTGTTACATCGCTTATGGATAATCAATTTGAGTCGCCTTATCGAAGATAATTTTTTTATAAGGAAATATTTGTGATACAGGGTCCCTTATTGTCCGGCAATAAAAAAATGATTCTGACGAAATGTTTACTTAATATTTGTTTTTTAGACAATAAACAAAATTGACTAAAATGAAATAATTACTTACGTAATAAAAACATTAATTAAAACATTATAATATCATCATTTTGCTATTATCAATAAATGAATTAATAAATGATTATTTTATTATGTTAATTTTTTTTTACTATATCAATATATTCGATCTTTAAACATTAATAATTCCCATGTATACTCATGTATACTGTACATAAAAGTAAAAATATGCCATTTTATTTTAATACGCCAAAATATTCCATATATATGATATTGGATATAATTTGTATATCTCGCTTGCGCCTTTTAAGTCTCCATCTTGAGTTAATTTTGCGTCTTTTTGATTGAGCATCATTTTGCGTGTATCATCTTTTGCTCACTTTTATGTTTTTAATCTTGGACCCCATTTGTCTTGGGCGTCATTTTTTGCGTGAGCGTCGTCATTTTGCGTGTTTTATTTGGGCCATTTACGTCTCTCATCTTACTGTAGGCTTTAGCTTTCTCTCGTCTTTAGGTGCCTCATCTTGCTTCATTTGTATTTTTTTTTGCGTGTCATCTTGACAGTTATTTGTGGTTGACTACTTGCATCAATAAATGAGCAGTAAGGTTGAAACATAAAGATCGTAACACATTGTAACAAAATTAAATTTCTCTGAAAGAATGCTTCCTAAGCTTTCTAGAATGTTAATCATCATGTTTGAATGTACACTAACTATTTTTCATCTTGATTTTGTTTTTCCTAATTTTGGTATTCTCATCAGCATATATTATTATATATCACTATAATATGTGACATTACCACGCCAAGTAGAAACATTCAAAACTTTCTTTAAAAATAGAGGAATTTTTTTTTTTTAAAAAAAAAAAAAAATTTGTTTCTGTAGAATTTAGTCATACATTAACGTTTTTATTTATCGATCATGTGAAACCATAAAAAATTATGCATTACTTGCAGATAGTTAAGGTAGTTGGATAAAGTATTTTTCACATTTAGCTAAAACCAAAAATATTATCAGCTGTTGTTTTGTTGATACTTAACGTATCACTTTCCTATCAAAGAATAAAAAAGTGCTTGCGGCTCGGATATATAAGCCGAAAATATGGGCGCAGTCGTTTGAGTTGTCAAGTAATCGAATAACAATTAGTAGATCTTTTGCTTTTGTCTACTGCGCCTGCGGCAAATTCTTGCGGAAAACCAATAACATAATCGAGTCTATGGAGTTTTTAACGTTACTAAATATATCGTACTAATATATCGCAATGTATCACTAAAATATCATCACCGTGATTATCTAAAGTATCTTCTCTTTACATTTGAATTAATCATGTTGCGTATTATAAAAATTAAATCTTTTTCTTTAAAAATCTATTTTTAATTTAGTACGTTAAATATAAATACTTTAATTAGTAAATAGATATTCTATATATACCGTATTTGGAAAGCGGAGACGAAATCCGCTGGGACATGTTTAGCGTATTTACGAGTCTGAATGACAAATTGACAAATACGCAGAATTAATGACTGTTATGGCATAAAGAAATTTTATAATATTCATTTTTTATCTTTTATAGAAATGAAAAATAATGTAGATCTAATACATGTGAAAAGATGTACTAAATATATATCTTTTGATTTACTTAAAATGGTATTTTATATAAATGTCGATTTCGAATATGTGAGGTCATATATAAAGCGCAGCAAAATTTGACGTCATAATCTAATTATATAAAATCCTTTTGTTGTATATATGAAAAAAATAATAAGGAAAAATATTTTGTAAATCCATTCATAGAAAATTCCCTTTGATTTCCTTGCTTTTGTTGAAAGATCAACAATAATAAATTCTTTATTTCAATACAAAATAAGGAAATAATGAGCCTTTCGGCGAATTCCATTTAACTCCGATCATTGACATAATTGGATACAACAAAACGACCTTGGGTTCATTGAGAAAAAAGAATATTTAAGCCGCTTGAAACGTTAATAAATGACTTAACCCATCTTTCTCGCATTTTTTACTACAATTTTTTTTTTTTCGTTATTTTCATTTTTTTTTTTTTATATACACTCATATATACATAAAATATATACATTTTTTTTTTTAATAAACGACATGGCTCTTAAAAGAATTACCAAAGTTAGTATTATTTAAAATTTTTTTTTTTTTTTTTTTTTTTTTTTTTTTTATTATTATTATTATTTTTTATTTTTATGACTTTTGAATATATTATTAATTTTATTTTCCTTTTTTATTCTTACATGTATACTATTAGGAATTATACGAATTACAACATGACCCACCGTCATCTTGTAGTGCTGGCCCCGTTAGAGATGACCTTTTTCATTGGCAAGCGACAATTCCAGGACCAGTAAGTACTTTTTGGTTAATATCAAATTCATGTGATTTTATATGCATAGAAGGAAGTGACTAAAATTACTTTACTTGATATCATAATTTTTAATTAGTCTGAATCCCCATACTCTGGTGGTTTATTCTCTCTTGATATTCATTTTCCCACGGATTATCCGTTCAAACCACCGAAGGTATGATTTATTTATTTACAGTTTTTGTATATTCTTAATTACGTACATACGTACTCATTTGTTTGATATTTTATATATAGGTAACCTTTACAACAAGAATCTATCATCCAAATATTAATAAAGATGGAAATATATGTCTAGATATTCTAAAAGAACAATGGACGCCGGCGTTTACTATTTCAAAAGGTAAATAAATCTTTACATATGTCGTTATAATACTTTTATGAAAGAAAAATTTAATCAAATTCTTTAATTTTTTTTTTCAAGTTCTCTTGTCAATTTCATCACTCTTCACGGATCCAAATCCAGGTAAATATATAAATATTTCATTAATTACAATTATTTCTTTATTTCTCGTTAGTTATTTTATCCTGATTCTAATTATTATATATATATATTTTAATATTAGATGATCCACTTGTACCAGAAATTGCTCATTTATACAAAAATGATCGTAAAAGTTATGACAAAACGGCTCGGGAATGGACTAGTAAATATGCTACTGGAAATTAACTGGTTATATAACCTTTTTTGATTTTTTTTACATCAGGAAGGAAATTCTTTGTTTTTTAATATATATATATATATAAATAGATTTATCTATATTTTTTTTTCTTTTCATTTGTTTTGTAATTCTCAAATAAATTAATTCGAACAATAGAAATTTTGTAATTAAAAAGATAATAAAGTCAACCCTTTTTTTTAAAAATCTTCAAATTTGTCCAATCTATGAATTTCATTTTTCCTTTTTTTTTAATAATTTCATTTACAACTTTGCGCTAAAATTAGGATGAATTTTGAAATTAATACTGTTTCCTCATTCCATCTAGAGTGTTGTGAGAAAAGTGGTGCCAAAATTGAAACGATTTTATGATCCAAGAAGGTACGCTGTTAGCTTTTCTATGGACGTTCCTTTTTTTTTTAGGGATAAAATTTTGAAAAAATTCTTTGGTTACCTCAATCACCTGACGCGCGTCAGATGATTTCACTAACCTCTTAAGGGATTATAATAATTGGTCAATGGCCAATGGTTTAGAATGTCGTCATCCGACATAGAAATCTCGTTTTACGATATATACGATACAAAACAGCAACATGCTTTGGTGATCGTCATCTTTGATGGGCAAAACTGAACGACCACCCGCTTCCAAATATATATTTATCAATTTTTTAACGTACTTATATAATATATATCAATTTTTACTAAAGACCGTACATCGTTATACTGCGCACAAACAGTTATAACAATAAAATAGTCTCCCCTTGTATCATTATCTGTAATTAGTTAAATTAAAATAATAATGATCGAATATTTTATTTATGATTTACGATTATGATGTTTCACGATTGGCGTAATAACTCTAAATTTGTTTATTCTTTCAGCCTTTTGAAAATTGTAGATATATATATATACCTTAAAATGCATAAATTTTTTTTTTTTTATATAAATTTTTTTTTATAAAAAAAAATTAAAATTATGACACTTTTCCTTTTGAGCGAAAGCTCCATTCTTTATTTTCATTCATTGAATTTCATATAATACTTTTTCTCGAACATTAATAATCGAAAATAATCCTTTTTTTCCAAATTTATCGTCTATATATTATATATATATATATATATGTTTGCAAGGCCATACTAATAACATGAACACAAATTATATTTTCATGAACATCTATTGTTACACACTTATGTTTTCTATTCTACTAAAAATATTTTTACGTCTCTATATTTGGACAATGGAGTTTAGGTTAGAATAGGGTTTAGTAATTAGCTATCATGATGCTTCATTACCCTTTCATGTCCCATTTATACCATTTTTTTAACCGTTTATTTTGAAGTTTTTTAGAATAAAATAATCGCTCCTAATGTCATTTTTTATTTTTTATTTGGATTTTTTATTATCTTTACAGAAAAATTTTGGGATTTTTTATTTGGATTTTTTATAATCTTTGCAAGAAAAATCTTTACAGAAAAAATTGGGTAGTCATGTAATTTATAATTTAGTTCATGTATTTTTTTTATTATCTATACATCATATAAATGTTTCTGGTCACTAGAGCATTATTTTGTGGTGAGGAATCTTTCATGTCAACAAATTAAATTTTTCTGTAAAGAATCTTACAATAAATAATAAATATTTTTATCCTTTTTTACAATAAAAGAAGTACAGATACAATTTATAGTGTATACTAATTTATTCTTTAAAAAGTTCGCAAACTCAAAATTTTCAAAATACTTCTGACTTATCATGAGTTTATGTATCTCGTATATTGAAAAGAATCTATTGTTAACGCATACAATACATAAATGAAAAAACGTCGGAGATAATGTGAGTAAAAACTTTTTCTTTTGAGATCATTTGATTTAATTTTTATCATAATTAATAATTAAACGTTCAAACATACAGGACTTGGATGAATGGGTTCGTCGTTCATTATTGCGTCATTTATTTATTTTATTTTTTTTTTGATTATTGTCGACGCGACCTCGTAATGTTAGCGTGGTCAGTGGTGACAGCCTAATTTCATTTTATTCTTGTTATAACAATTGTTATTGGATAAACAATTTTATGAATATATAAATAATTTTTTATTAATAATAATGATACTGTAAATGCTAAAAATACAAAACATTACGAAAACAATGTTTTTAAATATATTAAAATGAAGCCCTATGCTATAGTTATTATCGATTATTCTTATTATTCGCTTTATTTATAAGTTAAAAAAAAAAAAACCTTTCGATTTTGAATACTCAAATTAAAGAATAAAAATAGAATTAAATATCTTACCTTCATCTAATGGTTTTTTTAAACGGTGAAATCAAATCTAATATTCATTAACCGTAGATAATAAATACTCAGAATATTAGTCTCGTAATTTTATATGGTTTTTTCAATTACTATTGGCGTTAATTTTGATTAAATTTTATACTTTCAAGATTTTTTCCTTTCTTCCTTTTTTTAATTGTATAGATTTGTGAATGTTCAAAGGTAATACGTAGAATTAATACTATATGTTGGGTTTCTGACCCTATATATATATATGTTGTTACATCTGAAGGACTATGAACATTATAAAAATGGAATATAGACGTTAAAGCATCATTTATTGTATTGTAGGGCATAGCAAAGTTGATCTCGGTGAAATGACATAAAATATCCGTTCCGATTCTTTGATTTGAAAATAAATAAATATTTTCGTCCCTCGTTATTATTAATTCATTTTTTCTACATTTTTTTATATCTAATTATAGCAATAATCAGGGGTAAATTGGCGGTTTAGGCCTTTTCACAAGCCATTTAAAAATAAATTCACAAAAAATTCATTATTTCCATATTTTAAAAAATCTCTTTCCTTTTAGGATTGGGCGTATATTTAAATCACTTACATATCAATAAATAGGATATCCTACTTTCTTACATTTTATTACTTTCCAAAATTATTTTTCATTTTTTTTTTTTTTATCAAACAAGATGACTACTAGTAGAATTAAGAAGGTTATAAGAGGGTTTATTTTCTGTATTTTTACATTTTTCAACTACAGCTTTTTTTGAACAAATTACTTATAATCTATTCGCCTTACATTATTATCTCCTATTAGGAATTGGACGAATTAAGTAAGAACCCACTACCATATTGTAGTGCTGGACCTGTTGAGGATGACCTTTATCATTGGCAAGCGTCAATTATGGGTCCCGTAAGTATTATTGGTTGAATCAAACCCAGTTCATGTAATATTATTAGGGATGGCAACGGTCGGTTATGGTCGGTTATAATCGGTTATAATCGGTTATAGCAATTTAAACGGTCAGTTATGGTCGGTTATACCATTTTACTTAAATAATTGGTTAAATGGTCGGTCAGATGGTTAAAAATGGTTAAATGGTTGGTCAAACGGTCGGTTAAATGGTTATGATCATAACCGTTGCCATCTCTAAATATTATACAAATAGACGAAAATCAACTAATTCAATTCAACTTCTTTTCATGATACTAAAATTTTAATTAGACAGATTCCCCATACTCAGGTGGTGTATTTTTCCTTTTAATTCACTTTCCTACGAATTATCCATTTTATCCACCAAAGGTAAAATTTATTTATACAACGTGTGAAACGAGTGTATATTTTTAATTACGTGGTTATTTATTTATTTGATATATTTATTGAAATATAGGTGACCTTTACAACAAAAATCTATCATCCGAATATTGATAAAAATGGAAGTATATGTTTGGATATTCTAAAAGAAAACTGGTCGCCAGCATTAACTATTTCAAAAGGTAAGTATATATCTCTCTAAAAATATTGTTATAATACTGATTTTTTTTTTCTTTTTTTTTTCAAGTTCTCTTGTCAATTTTATCAATTTTCACAGATCCAAATCCAGGTATATTGTCAATATCTAAATCTATCTTTCAGATTTCAACTATTTATAATATATTTTTTAAAATATTAGATGATCCACTTGTACATGAAATTGCTCAAGTGTATAAGAATGATCGTACTCGTTATGAGACTACTGTTAGAGAATGGACTCGCAAATATGCTAGTAGTAAGTATAACTAATTATATGATCTTTTTACTTTGTTATAATTTTATTGTTGATTATACAATAATATGGAATTCCTTGTTCCCACTATTAGTGTAACTATCAGATCTTTCCCGTCTAAATTCTATATATTTTTACGATAAAAATTTGTTAAAGCATGAAAAACTCAATTTATAAAATGAAAAATAAAGTAAGAGATATTATGTTCCATGTTAGTCCAAATTATTGTCGTAAAATTATTTGATAATTTCGTTCGCTTATATATATATATATATACATATATATATTATTTAAACTCTGCTAAATTTAAATTGATTAAATTGTTTCCGTATAAGCAAGCGAATTACGTACAACGAATCATACCATTTTTAATAACTGGCCGAAATTATCATAATTACTGCCTTGAAAAAAACGCGTAAAGCCGATAGTAAATTAATAAATTTTTTTTTTGACCGTCACGGCGTCAGTCTAGGGATGGTAAATAACGTGTTATATATTTTAGGGTATATACCTGGTATATACCGAATATATATCATGTATTTATATGTTATATATATTTTTTATGATATATACCATGCTATAACAGATAAATGTTACAAACCGTTAATTTCCCCATCACTAGGCGTCACCTTACCTCTGTATATATTTTTCGGAGCCCTGTATAAGTCAATACAGAATATTTTGTCAAAAATTTGAATGGATTATGTTTATACGTCTTTTCTATATTTTTTTTTAAGATGCTGACCGTTTTTGGACGTTCATCTTTTAGGCATTTTAACGTAATGAGCGGGAATAAGTTTTTAAAAGCTTGTATATTTGAACGTAAAAGTGAATAATTATTCGTTGCTGTACCGTAGATTATTCATTGAATATACAATAATGAATTTATCTTTATTTACTATTTATAAATTATTAAATATTATGATCATTATTTAGTTATAATAAATGTTTCGATTTCTTCAATACTATAAATTGTATCTGTTCTTATATTATTTTCATAATTACAACTATAATTATTAATTATACAATGATTTTCTGTCATAAAAAATGCATTATAACCAAAATTAAATCCATTGTGAGGTTGATCGTATATAGCCTGTCTCTTATACACATCTCAAAATTAAATCCATTGTGAGGTTGATCGTATATAGCTTTATCATAATTTATCACACGACTTATTTTCATATTTTGAGTATCTTCATCATTTTCTAATGAAAAAATAAAGTTATTTGATGAATGATAAAATCGGTGATTATCTTCATAAATACGTAAAAGACTATCTTCAATTGAATTAAATCCAATAGAACTATATCCGCCAATTATTTTTTTTGAATAATTAACTTTAATTAAAACTAAACTTTTTACTTGACCTTTACATTTATTTTTAAATGATTTGTTACTAATACCATCAATGCTACCACGATAAATAAGATTTAAATTGTAATTTGAAATCCAGAAATCTTCTATATTAATCCATTCAATAATTCTTCTTATAAGTCTAGATTTGATAATTTTTGAATTAAAATTTTCTATTTTTCTAGGTGGTAATATTATTTTTGGTATAGTACCTTTATTATAAAATTCTTCAATTTCTTTATAAATTTGACTAGGAATTATATTCTTATATGGTCTGACTTTATTATTAAAATCATCAAAAGTAATATTCGTAAATCGAATAAGAGGAATAAATTCATTCAACGTTTCCTTTAATGCTTCATAATCCTTATTATTCCATTTGTTTATATCACAATTCAAACTTGAAGTTTGTTTTATACCCCATATAATTAAGTAATCCCAAGCAACAATTTCTTTAATTAATAAGTCTTCTCGTTCAAGTAGGTCATAATACATATCTCTTTCTAATGAGGGAAAGCTAAATGAAGTAATTATAAACTCTGGGTCGAAACAAATGGTTTCAAAACAATAATTTTGTAGAAACTCGCAATTTGCAAGTTTACGTACAGTATAAAAGACAAGAACGAAATCTTTATGAATCCAATTATATCGTTCTTTTGTTAAGTATTCTCGTAAATAATCACATAATTCTTCAAGTAGCAATTCATCAGATGCGACTAAAAGCTTAAGAATATCACTCAGTTTTTCTGTCAAGTCTAGCTTACCTGAATAAATATATCTAAAAATATACATAGAAATGAATATATATATATATATATATATACGAATATAATTTATGATTAAATTAAATATTTTTACCTTAAAATCATGTCAAAAATATTTGGTGTAACATTTGGCTTATTAAAAATGATTATATCATTTTCCTTTTTAACCCAGGAGGATGAAAAAGCACCTTCAAAATAAGGAGAACGAGAACGTAAAATTACTGAATGTACACAAAATTCTTTTATATTTTCGTTTTCGCCGACTTGAATAATAGTATCATAATTATCGTCATTGCTATTTAGGATTAGGGAGAAATCTTTCGAAAATTTTGGATTGAAAAATGAAGTCATTTTTTTAAAGAATGAAAATGAAAAAGTGAATATTTTTTTTAAAAAAAAAATCTGGGACATTAACCGGGCAGGAAATAAACAATTGTTGCTTTTGTTGTTTTTGTGTTAACTTATATCCTGCTTGAGATAAGATCGGCCCAGCGTTTTAATTATATGACGCATTATCTGCATAACAACTAATATTTATTAAGTATCGCCTCGTGAAAATGAAAATCACGAAGTTCCACAACGGTTCCGACTATAAAACTTTTTAAATAACTATACCTAATAATGATAGACTTATTATTCCAATATTGATAGATATTTTTATCCAATATTGAGTCATCTTTTTTAAACATTATTCGTGGAATTATTATTATAAACTGTGTGATAATAGAGATTATTCACTTAATATATATAATGAATTTGTTTATTTTTATCTGTTATTTTATTTATAAATTATTACTTAAATTACATGATCATAATTCAGTTATAATAAATGTTTCGATTTCTTCAATACTATAAATTGTATCTGTTCTTATATTATTTTCATAATTACAACTATAATTATTAATTATACAATGATTTTCTGTCATAAAAAATGCATTATAACCAAAATTAAATCCATTGTGAGGATGATCGTATATAGCTTTATCATAATTTATCACACGACTTATTTTCATATTTTGAGTATCTTCATCATTTTCTAATGAAAAAATAAAGTTATTTGATGAATGGTAAAATCGGTGATTATCTTCATAAATACGTAAAAGACTATTCTCAATTGAATTAAATCCAATAGAACTATATCCGCCAAATATTTTATTTGAATAATTAACTTTAATTAAAACTAAACTTCCTACTTGACCTTTACATTTATTTATAAATGATTTGTTACTAATACCATCAATACTACCACGATAAATAGGAATAAAATTATAACGTGAAATCCAGAAATCTTCTATATTAATCCATTCAATAATTCTTCTTATAAGTCTAGATTTGATAATCTTTGAATCAAATTTTTCTATTTTTCTAGGTGGTAATATTATTTTTGGCGTAGTACCTTTATTATAAAATTCTTCAATTTCTTCATAAATTTGATTAGGAATTATATTCTTATATGGTCTGACTTTATTATTAAAATCATCAAAAGTAATATTCGTAAATCGAATAAGAGGAATAAATTCATGCAACGTTTCCTTTAATGCTTCATAATCCTCATTATTCCGTTTGTTTCTGTCACAATTCAAACTTCCCAAACCAGAAGTTTGTTCTATACCCCATATAATTAAGTAATTCCATGCAACAATTTCTTTAATCAATAATTCTTCTCGTTTAAGTAGGTCATGATATATATCTCTGTCAAAGCTAAATGAAGTAATTATTAACTCTGGATTGAAACATATTCAGGCTTATGTATTCGTCTTACTTACTTGCTTATGGTTTTAAAACAATAATTTTGTAGAAGCTCGCAATTTGCAAGTTTACGTACAGTATAAAAGACAAGAAAGAATTCTTTATCAACCCAATTTTGTCTTTGTTCGAGAATGTATTCTTGTAAAAATGAAATTAATTCTTCAAAAAGCAGTTCATCAGATGCGATTAAAAGTCGAAAAATATCTTCACTTAGTTGTTCTTCCAAATTAAGTTCACCTGTATAAATATATCTTAATATAGAATAATTATATAAGTACATTTATAGTATGAATTACTTTTTAATAAATAATTTATTAATAAATTAAAATTAAATTAAATTAGATTATTTAGGAATAAAATATTTTTACCTTAATATCATTTCAAAAACATTTGGAGTAATATTTGGTTTATTAAAAATGATCATATCATTTTCCTTTTTAACCCAAGAGGATGAAAGAGCACCTTCGAAATAAGGAGAACGAGCACGTAAAATTACTGAATGTGCACGAAATTCTTTTATGTCTTCGTTTTCACCAACTTGAATAATAGTATCATAATTATCATTATTTAGGATTAGAGGAAAATCTTTCGAAAATTTTGGATTGAAAAATGAAGTCATTTTTTTATAAAGAATGAAAATGAAAAAGTGAAAGTTTATCGATGAATGATTTTTTATTTTTTATTTTTTAAAAAAAAAATCTGTGGCATTAACCAGGCTTGTTTTTGTCACTTGATTATGTATTAGCTTACATCCTGCTTGAGATAAGATCAGCCTAGCGTTTTACAAATAAGCGACGCATTATCTGCATAACTAATATCTATTATGTATCGCCTCGTGAAAATCACAAAATTCCACAATGGTTTACATAAGATGGTCATCCATTGTAAGGATGGTCATCGGTCCTAAAAGACCGTGATCCTACGGTCTTACTTAAAAAGACTGACCGGTCCGTCTTGGTGTAGGCCGTTATATATGTATCGCATACAATAAGACCGTCGGTATTTTTACAGCTGATTTCATAATGTACGGGACACTTAACAAATTTTAAAGAACTCGGAAATATTCTGTAAAGCTTGTTATAAAATAAAAATTATACGCTAATTTTGGAGTGCTATCCCGGAGAATGGTGGTATAATTTTATCTTATTTTGAACTTTCAGTTACCGAGTTCATTTACTGTAAGGACCGCAGTCTTTTTAAAACAGATCGGTCTTTTTTCTTTTTTTTTGCAAATAAGAAAAATTTTTTTAGCTTTAAAATTAACTGAATATAAAAGTCATTTATTATATGAAGACCGGGTCAGTCCTCGGGACCGGTCCTATTGCGCCACAAAAACTGAATGTAAGACCGCGGTCCGGTCCTACGAGTCCTGGGACCGACCGGTCCAGGACCGAGTAGGACCGGTAGGACCGATGACCATTGGCTCCGACTTTTAATAACTGTACCTAATAATGATAGATTTATTATTCCAATATTGATAAATTTTTTTATCCAATATTGAGTCATCTTTTTTAAACGTTATTCGTGGAATTATTATTATAACTGAAACTGTGTGATAATAGAGATTATTCACTTAATATATATAATGAATTTGTTTATTTTTATCTGTTATTTTATTTATAAATTATTACTTAAATTACATGATCATTATTCAGCTATAATAAATGTTTCGATTTCTTCAATACTATAAATTGTATCTGTTCTTATATTATTTTCATAATTACAACTATAATTATTAATTATACAATGATTTTCTGTCATAAAAAATGCATTATAACCAAAATTAAATCCATTGTGAGGATGATCGTATATAGCTTTATCATAATTTATCACACGACTTATTTTCATATTTTGAGTATCTTCATCATTTTCTAATGAAAAAATAAAGTTATTTGATGAATGGTAAAATCGGTGATTATCTTCATAAATACGTAAAAGACTATTCTCAATTGAATTAAATCCAATAGAACTATATCCACCAAATATTTTATTTGAATAATTAACTTTAATCAAAACTAAAATTTTTACTTGACCTTTGCATTTATTTTTAAATGATTTATTACTAATACCATCAATACTACCACGATAAATAAGATTTAAATTGTAATTTGAAATCCAGAAATCTTCTATATTAATCCATTCAATAATTCTTCTTATAAGTCTAGATTTGATAATCTTTGAATCAAATTTTTCTATTTTTCTAGGTGGTAATATTATTTTTGGTATAATACCTTTATCATAAAATTCTTCAATTTCTTTATAAATTTGATTAGGAATTATATTCTTATATGGTCTGACTTTATCATTAAAGTCATCAAAAGTAATATTCGTAAATCGAATAAGAGGAATAAATTCATTCAACGTTTCCTTTAATGCTTCATAATCCTCATTATTCCATTTGTTTCTGTCACAATTCAAACTTCTCAAACCAGAAGTTTGTTCTATACCCCATATAATTAAGTAATCCCAAGCAACAATTTCTTTAATTAATAAGTCTTCTCGTTCAAGTAGGTCATAATACATATCTTTGTCTAATGAGGGAAAGCTAAATGAAGTAATTATTAACTCTGGGTCGAAATAAATGGTTTCAAAACAATAATTTTGTAGAAACTCGCAATTTGCAAGTTTACGTACAGTATAAAAGACAAGAACTAAATCTTTATGAATCCAATTATATCGTTCTTTAGTTAAGTATTCTCGTAAATAATCACATAATTCTTCAAGAAGCAATTCATCAGATGCGATTAAAAGCTTAAGAATATCACTCAGTTTCTCTATCCGATTCATTTTACCTGTATAAATATATCTTAAATATAATAATATAATAATAAATTTTAAAATATTACTTTCAATAAATAAATAATTCAAATTAGGCCAAATAATAAAATAAAATATTTTTTTACCTTAAAATTATGTCAAAAATATTTGGAGCAATGTTTGGTTTATTAAAAATGATCATATCATTTTTTTTTTTAGCCCAAGAGGATGAAAGAGCACCTTCGAAATAAGGAGAACGAGCACGTAAAATTACTGAATGTGCACGAAATTCTTTTATATCTTCGTTTTCACCAACTTGAATAATAGTATCATAATTATCATCATTATTTAGGATTAGAGGAAAATCTTTCGAAAATTTTGGATTGAAAAACGAAGTCATTTTTTTCTAAAGAATGAAACGAGTGAAAGTTTATCAATGATTTTTTATTTTTTTTTAAAAAAAAAAAAAATCTGGGTTTTGTCACTTAATTATGTATTAGCTTATATCTGCTTGAGATAAGATCAGCCTAGCGTTTTACTGCATAACTAATATCTATTATGTATTGCCTCGTGAAAATCACGAAATTCCACAATGGTTCCGACTATAAAACTTTTTAATAACTGTACCTGATAATGATAGACTTATTATTCTAAATATTATCCAATATTGAGTCATCTTTTTTAAACATTACTATCCGTGAGAATATCAAGAATTATTATTATAAAACTGTGTGTTAATAGAGATGATTCACTTAATATAATAATGAATTTGTTTATTTTTATCTGTTATTTTATTTATAAATTATTATTTAAATTACATGATCATTTTTCAGTTATAATAAGTGTTTCGATTTATAAATTGTATCTGTTCTTATATTATTTTCATAATTACAACTATAATTATTAATTATACAATGATTTTCTGTCATAAAAAATGCATTATAACCAAAATTAAATCCATTGTGAGATTGATTATCATAATTTATCAACGACTTATTTTCATATGTTGAGTATCTTTATCGTTTTCAAATGAAAAAATAAAGTTATTTGATGAATGATAAAATCGGTACTAATTATCGTTATAAATACGTAAAAGACTATCCTCAATTGAATTAAATCCAATAGATCTATATCCGCCAAATATTTTATTTGAATAATTAACTTTAATCAAAACTAAACTTTCTACTTGACCTTTACATTTATTTTTAAATGATTTGTTGTTAATGCCATCAATACTACCACGATAAATTGTATTAAATTTATAACGTGAAATCCACAAATCTTCTTTATTTATCCATTTAAGAATTATTTTTGCGAGTTTTGGTTTGATAATCTTTGAATCGAATTTTTCTATTCTAGGTGGTAATATTATTTTTGGTATAGTACCTTTATTATAAAATTCTTCAATTTCTTTATAAATTTGGTTGGGAATTATATCCTTATATGGTTCGATTTTATCATTAAAATCATCAGTAATAATATTCGTAAATCGAATAAGAGGAATAAATTCGTCTAACGTTTCCTTTAATGCTTCATAATCCTCATTATTCCATTTGTTTCTGTCACAATTCAATCTTCCCAAACCGGGAGTTTGTTCTATACCCATATAATTAAATGATCACAAACGACAATTTCTTTAATTTGTGTTAAGACTTCATTTTCAAAAAAATAATAACGCATATCTGTCTAATGAAGGAAATTTATCTGAAGCAATTAATGACACTGGGTGGATAAAGCAAATAGTTTCAAAACAATAATTTTGTAGAAACTCGCAATTTGCATGCTTATGTACAGTATTAAAGACAAGAATAAGAACTCTAAGAATCCAATTATGTCGTTGTTCAGTTAAGTAATCTCGTAAATATTCAAATAATTCTTCAAGAAGTAGCTCATCAGATGCGATTGAAAGCTTAAGAATATCACTCAGTTGCTCTATCAGATCCATTTTACCTGTGTAAATATATCTTAAATATATAATAATAATTTAAAAATATTACTTTTTATAAATAAATAATTTAAATTAGGCTAACAAAATGTAAAAAAAAAATATTTTTTTTACCTCAAAATTATGTCAAATATATTTGGAGTAATATTTGGTTTATTAAAAATAATCATACCATTTTCTTTTTTAGCCCAAGAGGATGAAAGAGCACCTTCAAATAAGGAGAACGAGAACGTAAAATTACTGAATTTGCACGAAATTCTTTTATATTTTTGTTTTCACCGACTTGAATAAGAGTATCATAATGATTATCATTATTATTTAAGATTAGGGGAAAATTTTCGCAAAATTTTGAATTGAAAAATGAAGCCATTTTTTAAAGAAAAAACAATGAAAATTTTTTATTTATAACAAAAAAATTTGGATCATTAAACGGGAAACAACCATCGTTGATCAAATGCTTTTGTTACAGCCTAAATAAGCTATTGTTACCACCGATTTATGACGTTTGGTAGGTAGTAACAGAAAGAAAAATAAGGATCGGTTTATTAGTGGTAAGGTAATATAGCGATATATAACAATCGATATTGTAAAAGTATATATATGGATAGTCGATAACGATTATAGGCGATAATAAGTGGTGGGATAAATTAAAGGTAGATCAGGTGATGTGTACTGTATATAAAAAATTATTATGCGATGTATATGAAAATCAATGATGTATAGTAAAAATCAACAAATATTAATAAATGATAATAATAGTGAACGATATTAAACGATGATAAACAATAAAAACAATAACAATATGTGATAAAACGTGTATAAATAATTCGGAAGCAAATCGACAGGTTTATTCGTTAATAAAAAGAATACGATATTACTGCCTCAACCGGCGCTCTGTAATATCCCGATATCTATCTTATAACAATAAAACTAAACGAATTCTAAACTGAACTATACTTCTATCCTTCAACACCGGTCCTTTATATAACATTAAATTTTTAGGACGATTCTGTCCTTCGGACATAATTGTCTCCCGGCCAATATCGTCTCCCGGCCAATTGTGGCGATCTGGGCACATTTGTCTATACAGCCACTTATATTCAGCCACTTTATATTGCTAAGCTTCCGCTTTTTATCTAATCTATAAACAACTAAAAACGACTACAAGTAATATAACTAAAAATAACTAAAAATAACACAAAAAGATAAAAATAGAATAAAATAAAAATAAAAAAAAATAAAAATAAAAATAAAAATAAAAAAAATATCCCGTGACACTATTATGCCGAATATCATAATTTTCACGGCGTAGCCATGAAAATCATGATATTCCACAGTTCCTCGTGAATATTTGTATCACATTTAGTAGTTCCCAAAATCAATGACGGAGTTGTTCAATCCAAGCCCGTCCGAAAATGTTTACCAATTACCATGTAACTTTCTTAATAAATAATCTATTTTTGTCTAAATAATAAATAAGTTCTAATAAATATTTTGTAATTAAGTTTTCAAGCATGATTTACTTGATCAAAATATTTTTAAGACAGTAGAATTTTTTTTTGTCACAATCTTGTGAGATATTTTTTCTTGTTACCTTCACAACCAGCGCGGAAAAAAATCTTGGAAAAATTTCGGAAAAATTCCGGTTAAATATAAAAATTCCGGAAAATTATTTTTTCAACCGGTACATGTAACCGGAATTAAAAAAAAAATCCGGTTTTAGATGGTATTACCAAATAAATGATAATCTTTTATCTTTTTTTTTTTATTTTCTTTTAGTACATTTTTTACAATGTCGCTATTACAATATGGCTTTAAACGTAAAAAAATTAATAGAAATGACATATTTCAAGAAGATCAAATATCTGAAGATGAAGATAATTCAAATAAAGATGTTAAAAAACTTCGTATCAATGACAAAACATTTAAATCCAAATGGTTAGCAGAATTTTCTTAGTTGCGCTATGATGAAATTAACAAAAAAATGTATTGTACATTATACATGCGTCATAAAAAGAAAAATAAATTTGCTACAGAAGGAGCAACGAATATTTCAAGGAAATCAGCAATTAAAGAACATATAAATACTGAAGACCATAAAGACACGGAAAAATTAGAAAAAGCCAGAATACAAATGGAATTATTACAAAAAGAACATTTTTCTTCTAATGCAAATACAAATCACATTATTGGTATAATGCGGGCTGTTTATTTCCTAGCAAAAAAAAATTTACCTCTTAAACTTTTACCTTCTATTGTTGAACTAATAAAAGAATCAAATTCACCAAATCTTTTAAATGGTACTATTACCTATACAAATCATATTTCAGGACATGAATTCTTAGAAGAAATATCTGATACTATTAAAGAGGAAATCTGGGATGAATTATCTAATGTTACAGCATTTGGTGTGATGATCGATGAAAGTACGGATATTACTACAACAAAACATTTAGATATATATGCTTCGTATGTAACTAAAAAAGGAATTTTAAAGACACGATTTTTATGCATCGTACCTTTAACCAGTTGCAATGCAGAAAGCATTACAAAGGTATTAGTTGATATATTTGAAAAAAGAAAAATTTTGTCTAAACTTGTGGCATTTGCTTCTGATGGTGCTTCAGTTATGCTAGGAAAAAACGAAGGAGTGGCTGCAAAGCTTTCTAGAATTTGCACTTATCCTTTAATTGTTAATCATTGTGTGGCTCATAGATTGGCTCTAGCATGTAAAGATGCAAAGAAAGAACTTAGATTTTATGAAGAAATCGAATCCTTGGTTAGAAAAATTTACAATTATTTTAAAAATTCATGCTCACATATTCAACAACTGCAAGAAATTCAAAGTCTTTTGGATGATCCAATTTTAAAAATAAAAAAGTTGTATGAAATACGATGGCTTGCATGGTATGATGCTATTAAAAATATCTGTAATTCAATCCCTGCATTACTTAGGATTTTCAAAGAGTCAAAAAATAAGGATGGAAGGGAATTATATGAGCGGCTAACATCTTGGAGAATTCTTGCATTTTTGTATTATTTCTATGATATTTTAGAGCATGTAACACAATTAAGTAAATTTTTACAAAAAAGAAATTTAAAATTTTCAGATATCGATCCCATGATACAGGTTACAATCAACTCTATTCAAAAGGAGTATATTCTATTAGATCAAAAACAAAGATTCAGACAAAAAGTTCAAACGTTTATTGATGAAACTAACCCATTTGGAAATTCTTCAATAAAATATATGAATAATGATCTTTCATTTATTGAACAAGATTATGATGATTTTACAATAGATATACTTGAATATTCAACAAGCATTGTTAATGAACTCCAGCAAAGATTTCCTACTCGGCAATTATTTACTTCTATGAAAATATTAAATCCGCGTGAATGGCCAAAAGAATCTCAGGAACTATTATGGTTTGGAGATAATGAATTAGAAAATATATTAAAATATTATGAATGTCCAAATTTTCATAATAATATTCAGTTACCTGCGATTTTTGATATTAACAAATGCAGAGAAGAATGGGCAAGGTTTAAAATGATTATTACTAACAATTTTGCTTCTAATGACATAGAGGTAATACTTCCTCTATTAATAGAAGATTATATTGATGTATTTCCAAATATTATCAAGTTAATTCAAATAGCTTATTGTATTCCCTTTTCAAGTGTAGAATGTGAACGTGGTTTTAGTAGACAGAATAAAATTAAAACAAAAGACAGGAATTCATTAGCTACAAATACGTTGGATATGTTAATGTGCATTTCTTTGGAAGGGCCAGAAAGTAAGGAGTTTAATTATAATCGTGCATATACAATATGGAGTAACCAGAAAAGACATACTGGCTTTAAATAATCATATTGTAATAAACTACTGAAATAATAAATAATAAAATAAAGATAAAAAACTTTTTTGCGATATAAATTTATTAAATAAAATTTCCGGTATTTACAAAATATTCCGGAAATCTGCTACGTCACGACCGGAATAATTCCGGGATTATAAGATTTTACCGGTTTTATCAGAAATTTACCGGAAAAACCGGTTAAATTATAATGGATTTTCCGCGCTGTTCACAACCTTAACTTGTGAAGCAAACTACTACTTATTCCACAACTTTAACCTTTGAAGCGAACTTAAAAATTATTTCACAAGTTTAACTGTGATGTACATAAGGTTTATTTATTCATATCTTGAACTTGATTTCTGACCCGATTTTTTTCACAACTTTAACTTGTATAGCAAACTACTACCTATTTCACAGCTTTAACTTGTAAAACGAACTACTGCTTATTTCACAACTTTAATTTGTGTAGCGAATTACTACTACTTATTTTACAATATCTGTTATGTATAAGGTTTTTATTCACATCTCGAACTGGTATCTGGCCCATTTTTTTTATTTCCTTCACAACTTCAACATTAGCCCACCATATATATTATCCACGTGATACTATCTATCTAAATGATCCGTAACACGAACATAGTATGTGCGAATTTGTGAGTGAGTTTTTTTCAGCGTAACAAATGTGTTTGTAGTTGAAAAACGATCCGGACTAACTAATTGTGTGAGTTTTTTCCGTAATAAATATGTTATATGTGAGTTTATTGTGCTAGTTTTTTGTAGTTGAAAAAGTGTAATAATTACGGAAATGCTTTTGCTGCTCTCCGGAGATGTGTTAATTTTCGGACTAACCAAAATTCTAACTAAAATACTAACCGAAAATTCTAACCAAAAATCTAGCCGGGAAAAATTTAACCGATATTTCCAATCAAAATATTTGAAATGCTGTTCTTCAGAGAACATGTTATTTTCGAGCTAACCCAAATCTAAATATAAATCTAACCAAAAAATCTAACTGGAAAAACTAACCAAAACAAGATTGTTGATAATACTCAGGGATATATTGTATTATCATGGAATAAATATGAGCCCTGCTCGAAAAGCGGCATGCATATATTAATCAGCAATTATTGAGCTTCACTCAGTTCCGAATAATCTTGCCTTATTGCGTTACCTCTGATAATATTGAGCGACATAATAGCCTCTAATATGTTCCTGGCAACGGACAGAAACAGATGCAGTAAGTTTGGCACAATCAATGCAAGGATAACGTTTCCTCTTATTAAAATGGATGTGGAAACCTTCAAAACGTATACATGGTTTGCCGCATACATGAAAATATATAGGCAGGAATATCTTCCAAGCAACTTTAACGGTGTTTACTTATATTAATAAGCATTTAATTAATTAAAGAAAAAAGTTATATAAGGTAATTTATACTCGAGACTGTGCTAAAGACAGAAAACAATGGCAAAAGGAAACAGGACATGTGAACGCTGTGGGCGAACATTCGCAACACCATAAAAGTTACGAGTCCATCTCAACAGGAAGTTCCCATGCAAACCACGAACTTAGCAACAGACTACTACACAGAAAACACAAAATATATTTCTGCAAGGTAGAACAAATGCACAACAGAGTAACAGACAGAATTTAAATTTATCTAATAATGTAAAAATAAGAACTTTTTCTGAATTTTTTATTCGATCCGGATAGAAACCGTTATCCGGATAAACTAAAAAAAAACTTGACGGTTTTTATCCGGATTATCCGACTTAGAGGATAGATACCGAATCTGGACAATATATATATACAGTATATAAATTCTTTTTTTGTAGATCGGTTTCAAATAAACTTGGTATCATTAGCTTAATCAAATTCATAGAATTTTATCTGAATTATATTAGAAGTTTCAATTATTGAAATCTTAAAAATGTAAATATTTTTGGCATTTGCACTACATTATTATAATATAAAAATATGTAACATGAATATAAAGGTAAATAATTGTACAAAAAGATATAAAAAATCCGAGCCATCACGATTGCTGCGCCACGAATACGTCAGATAATCATTTTTTTCATGTAAATTATTAATATATTTTTATTTTTTCAAATTTTAATCCAAAATAGTTATAGTTCGTCAATTAATTAAATTATATAGAATTGATTCCCTTTTTTCTCTAATATAGAGCGAATTTCTATTAGCCTCAGCATGGTTATGTAATACTTAGGATCTTCATCTTGTATTATAATAAAACGAATTCATGATTCAATCCGTCCTTCGTTTGGATTTCGCGTAAAAAATAATAATAATGAAACTAAAGTTTTCATAGAGCTTGTTCGCTCAGAATTTGTCCACACCCATATAACACTTTTTTTTGATAACATTGTAAAGACGTGTTTTAATATACATTATATCTAGCGGTCAAACCTAACCTACCTAACCTTCCATAAAAATGATAATAACACGTAATAATTAGATTATTTGAATAATTTATGTTTTCTTTCTTGATTCACGTTAATAAAAATTTCACCAAAATTATTATTTTTAACCTACAGTAATAACATATGAAGTGGTTATAAAAGAAGAGATAAAGTAAACCGCACAGAATCTTACCGACCCTGAAACGCCGCCGTGCATAGTAAATCTATCAGAACCAACATATGACCCTGGATCCGGAAGTTTTACTTCTCTTGATAAATCAGTGGATATCGATGAACATCAAATGTTTGAAATAGATAATACTCAATCTCAAAGTCCTTTGAACGCGGCTAGCTTAAAAAAAAATCGATATTATTAATAATGGATCTTTGGTATAAAATATTTACATGTCGAATCAATTCTTCTTATCACCATAAAACTAAAAAAGAAAAAACTTGTTATACTTATATAGAAGAATTTTCCATCATTGTAAATATTTTTTAAGGGACAACAACATATTACATTATATATAACATTGACAAAAAACATTTCAGTATAAAACAAGAATCAACTCAATTCTAAATCATTTATCGATCATAATTGTATTCATAAAATAATCAATTGATTTTTTTTTGTAGTACAAAACAATTCAAATGAAAAAAGTGACCATAATCCTAATCACACTATATAGCTGCTTCAACATAAAACGTGATTTACTGTTAGTATATTATTGTTAAAATAAAAACATAATTTGACTAAAAAGTATTGAACTGAAGTTACTGAACCGAACAATGAGGACAAAGGTTTTACGCACATGCAGTAACGTGCTTTTTTAGTAAAATTATTATTAAATCTTGGAATTATTTGTGAAAAAATTTTAATTAAAAAAAAAAAAAAAAAAAAGAAAAATAATTGACGCCCTCAATCAAAAGATATCAGTTGATTGATCTAATTATATATAATGAATGTTCAACAATAGTTGTAATAGTTGTGAACGATCATCGAAAATAATTGTATTTCTTATTCATATGGTGAATAAAAATTTAGGTCTTTAATTATCGTTATCCGCATTCATTGTTCATTGTAATGTATTATAAAGTTGTAAATTATGGATCACGACAGAGGTTGATTATTGAAGAACTGAATATGTGGAATAATATGAAACACTGTCTCTTCGATTTTTAATTATTCTACTTCTATTGTTGTTCTTGGTTGAAATACACGGTTAAATTTGACTGTACAAAACGAGATATACATAGTAATATGGAATAAAAAATTTAATAAACGTGTTCTCATACAATTACTATATAACTATATTGCTTGTTCTGTATTGACAGGAGGCAGGACCTTCTGAGTTTCTACCCTCCAGTCTTTGGCCAACTTATCTAAGGCTTTCTAAATTTATCCATTAGTTCCGCAGTAAAAAAGTAATTGCGATTGTTGACATCATGCTATTTTCTCAGGATACAAAATATAAATATTCTGTAATACCTTATGAACTTGGTTTATTACGGGTTCTAAGAAGCAGGCACAAACGTAACTTTTCCCAAAAGAGAATAGTTCTAGGCAATAGATATCATCATGGTTGCCTTGTTCATAGTCAGTTTTATATGAGCAACCAATAATATTCTTGTACGACCAATCTGCACTACGTAATTTTTCGGTAAAATGGTAATTCATTAAAATGGAGTCGGGTAATTTCACGTACGTCATTGGGATGTCGGTAAAATGGATACCCGTGAACCGTTATTCAATAATTAATGATAAACACGCACAAAGGTTTTATCATGGTCGGGATAGAACCAACCCAGCAGGGGCCTTCATTTATCCATATTTTGCAACCCAGCCCGGAACTCTTTTTCACGGGATCCTTCAAAAATCCGACGCCAAAATCCCGATAAATGCAGAATGACTGAGATTCGATTGGATGAATTTGATATGATAATAGTAAATTTTAATGCAATTATTTATTCGTTATATAATATACCGAACTTCCGGATAATTTAGGACAAATTTGTGGTGGCCAGAATTATAATTTCGTTTGACATAAATTTTCGATAATCCTAGCCGGAACTAATAATATTATTATATTTTCTATAACGAACAGTCATGTGAATCCAGGCCAAATTTAATGACTAATACACAGTGAAATTCGATATAACGGAACCATCCGTTCCAGTAAAAATATCCGGTATATCGAGACTTCCGATATATCAAAAAATTTAAAAATTTCGATATACCGGATTTTATATATAAATCACATGAAATTCCGTTATATCAAGTTTTTATTTGTGCGACATGTGCGACGAACATTGAAAATTTAGATTATTTTTATTTAAAACATTATTTGAGAAATTTTATACACTGAAATTTACCAAAACTTAAAAAAAATTTGCTTTTTCTTACTATCCGAAATAATTTTTTATAAAAAAAAATTATCATGTTGCTCAAAAAAAATGAGATTATCTGTATCACGTGAAAATACTGTAATTTTATTGGTTTAAAATTGTGAATCGTCACGTGTTCCGGTATATCGAACCATTTTTATTATAACCGTTCTGTTATTTGTTCCGTTATAGCTATTATCGAGATTTTACTAATAAATTCCGTTATATCAAACTTATTTTAATATATGTGATTTGGTTCCAAAAAAAAGTTCCGGTATAAGGCCAGTTCCGGTTTATTGGGGTTCCGTTATATCGGATTTCACTGTGTATATGGGAGCTGGTTAAAGTTCAGTTCGGATGCGTTATATAGTGTTTTATTATAAAAGTTCATTATATCCCATAACCGACTTTTTATAAAAGTAATATACTGTACAAAGTTCTTTCAATTAAAATAAAATTTTTCTTTTAATTTAGTTAATTAGAAATTGATAAATAGTTCAATTTGTTTTATCATAACGTTTAAATACTAGTTAAATAAAATTTAACCTTCTAAAATATTTATTTGAATAAAAAGATTAAAATTATAGTTAAACACAGTCCCATTTTTCAAAGATTTTTGATCATCATCAAAAAAATCACGTTAAATTACTGTGGAAGTCTTCGTCACTTTTCCAATAGTATTTTAAAAAAAATTTATTATCATTAATTATTATCATTAAATATTTGATTATTTGATAATACATAAAATTTATAATAATTATAAATTACTAAAAAATTTGGTAATATTTAAATTAAAAATAATCTATAAACTAAAAAAAAAAATGTATCGTGTGTATATTTTTATATTTAAAGTGAAATAAACTATGCTTGCTTTGATTTTTTTCTATCAGATAAAGGATTTAAAGTATATTTAATCAATTTGAATGCAATTCCAATAAGTGCAAGAATGATAATTGATAAAACTCCATAAACGTCAAGATTATTTGCTTTGATAAATCCCATTCTAGACTCAGCAGGAATCCATTCTTTTAAAAAGCCATCATCTAAATATTCATCTAAACCACTACTATATAACATATATTCAATTAAATCGGCTGCTCTGTATTTTCTATTACTATTAATTCTGGCTAGATATTTCATTCTCTTTGAATTCTTCTTTATATGCTCATCTTTTAATAAGAAATCGATTTTATTCAAAATATCATCATTGACATCCAAAGCATTTTTATCAACTGATAATGCTATACCGGCTGATTCTAATCTTTGAGCGTTACCCATCTGATCACCACCAAAAGGCAATATTAACATGGGAGTACCAGTATAAAGGGATTCATGAGCACTTCCTGCGCCTCCATGGCTAAAAAATAATTTCGTATTGGTGTGATTAAGTACAGCGAATTGTGGTGCAAATTTTGTAACATGAATATGCGGATGTATATTATTTAAGATTGATAAAGTTTGAACTTGTGTACCATCAGTAAAGTTTAATGATGGACTGAAATCATCTTTTGATGTCTCAGATAGTGCCCAAACTACACCATCAACAATTTTATTGTTGATTACTTCAACAAGTGATTGTAAAATTTGGTTGTTATTCTCGATAGTTGCGCAGAAACGTGTACCAAAAGCTACGTATAAAACTCGTTTGTGTCCATCTATAAAATCCGAGAGTTCAGGCGTAAGTGGGGGATATTCTTCTGATAATACTGGTCCAATTTCCTATTAATTTAAAAGAATGAAGAAAATTAATCTTTTATAATTTTTGCTAAACTTCATATACTGTACAATCCGTTCATCATCCGCCGTGGAAGTATCCACCGTCAGTTTAATAATCCGAAGGAAAAGTCCTCGAATCATTATCCATCGAACGGATTTAACGTACGGATCATTAATTACCTGAACATTTGGTGCCAAAGATTGTGGTAACTTTAAGATAAAAAAAAAGGTTATTATTTTTATGAGATAATTTTATCTAGTTTGTTGAACCAATTATAAAATGTAAATTACCTCAAAACCGAAGAAAGTATCAATCAAAGCTAAGGAAACTTTTCCCGATACCGATTTTATATTCATTTGGTCTCTTATGTCATTTAATTGACGCGTAAAAGGCCTATAAGCATAAGCTATTTGTAAAGGTTGTACTAAAGCACACCTAAACCTCTCAAAAAATGGTTCATTTTCTAATGAGATATTACAGCCGAACACTGGATCAGATTTATATGGTTTAGGCTCCATCACTAAACAAAAGAGATTTTTTTTTCGTTAATTGAGTTTTGCTATTAAAAAAAAAAAAGAGGAATATGATTATTTATAATTACATTGCATGAATGAAGTAAAACCAACAACAGGTTTATTTAGATTATTGGCAACATCTATGCAAGGTTGGTTTACAAAAGCGTCACAAATGAATAAATCAATATTATTTTCTTTAGCAGCATTCTTAAATTTTTCATAATTTACGTTGTAGGCAGCTGTAGTTAATTCCATAACACGGGCCAATGATCTATAATCGACGTCTTCTTGAATATCTCTATTTTTGGCAGTCAGGTACTTAGGTCCCAATGTGATTTGTTTCAGACCTGGATATTCCGATGACGGTTCATAATTTCCTGTTGTTAATAATATTACCTATGAATCGAGAATATAAATAGGAGAAACTTAGACCGACGATCAAAACCAGTATCACGTAGAATAAAAGAAAAAATCCTTACGTTGTGACCTCTTTCAATCAATATAGTAGCGACATCTAACATTGGTTTAAGATGGCTTCTTCCTCCAACGTAAGAACCGACCAAAATATTTTTAGGCGAACGCTCTATATCAATATTTCTAGGAACATAATCTTGCGCCACGGCATTAACGTAGACTTGATTTAATAATAGGACGAGTATCGGTAATAAGAAAATAAGATTTTTACTGATCATTTTGATGTTTAAATTTGATATTGGTATATTGAATCGAATCAATAAAGGTAAAACACTGCTTTATTTATACGTATTTGTTTTTATGCTGATCGATTTTAAAATGCAAAATAATTTATTCGGTCAATTAATATCCCGAATTATTTAACCGGAGAAATTTAATAATGCCTATTTTACGCAAATTATCGCCAAAAGCGTCTAATACTCGGATTGTCGTCTCATCACGTGATATGACGTACAAATTTTAAAGATAGTAATAATCCTACTTGAGTTTCACGTCTTTGACTTTTCTATGTAGGAACGTAAGATTCCGATAGCAAATTTCCTATTAATTCAAATATTGGATGAGATATTTTTAAATAATTTTTACTACAATTAAGTTATATTTGTTCTTATTTAGTTTTTAAACCTTTAATAAGCTTTATTTGAATCTTTTTAACGCTTACAATCTTTGTTAATCTTGTACAGTTCCTATCAATACCATATATTATACCCATAATGAAAATTATGAAAGTTGTTGTATTAGAAAAAAAAGAATAAAATGTCGATCATTTTCTCCTAATTTTAAAATATCCATTTATACAATTTCGGTTTAGCGGACCGAAAATCCGAAAAGATGATCTTTACATTTTATGAATAAGTAACATGTGATAAGCATATAATATAATTGTCTCAAAAAAGGCTTTAATGGTAAAACAAATTTCTTTGATTTATCTGATTATGGATCTTTCATGGAAGGTCTTCTGTTTTTTATCTTGGAATGATTTTGATATGTTTTGTATCTTATATGAATTTATTTTTAAATATTTTATTTTACATCATGTTGCAAAAAATAATTTCATATATATAATTTTACTATACGATTGTTGTTGAAATGGTGAGTCGGGTAAATTCATATCAGGAGTCGGGTAAATTCATGTCAGTCGGTTAATTTTCGTTGCAAATACCATTTTAAGTTTATATTAAAATTATTAAAATCAATAACACGGACAAATGATATATACTGCTTCAGCTGATTCTGGGTCTATTGTTGTTAATTTTTAGTTAATATCAAACATATATATGAAATGTCGATTTGGGTCAGGTGATAACTGACGTACAGTACGTCAAATGAAAATCGATCACTTATCACATAAAATTAAAGTAAAATTGAACATTAAATTTTCTAGTCTTAATAATTTTTTTTATTATTAAATAAATTAATAAATTTTATTATCACATCATTCAAATTATTTATTGCCCGAAGTGTGGTGAAGGATTTTCAAACAACTCAAAATCAATACAATGTCCGTCTGGCCAATACCTAGTATATTACGAGATTTTTAAGTAAATTTACAATTTTCACATAAATCAAATTAGTATAAATTATCATAATATATATAATTTATTGGTTACGGTACATTCACCGAAATCCATTTTGCCGAAGCCATTTCGCCAAAAGTGTATTTTATCGAATCCATTTCACCGAATTCCATTTCTCCAAATGGACATTTCGCCGAATTTTAGCTACAACATTCAAGTAAGGGGATGGCCAGAAATGACGTAATTTAAATTTTAGGATTTTTGACCCCCCCTTCCCTATGTCATCATTCATTTTAGGAAATGTAAAATTAAAACACAATTCTGGCTAGAACTATATTAACTACAAGTGTCTAAAAATGAAAGGTGTGTAACATCATCATGGTCTTAACCCCCTCCCCCCTTAGGAAATGACGTCATTTCTGGCCATCCCCTAACTGATATTAATTGTTAAGCAATAAATAAATAATTTTATTTTCCTGAAACTTATTCACGAAAAAGTAAGTAAAAAAAAAGATTAATGTATTTATTATAAACAACGAGGTAAATTTAATAAATCTACCAATTCAAAGATTTATCTAGAAAAGATTTCTTTATACATTTAGTATAAAAACAATATAATAACAAAATGAAATAAATATTCTTTGGTGAAATGTCCATTCGGCGAAATGTCCATTCGATAAAATGGCTTCGATGAAATGGTATTTCGGCGAAACGTCCTTTTGGCGAAATATCTCTTCGGTGAAATATCCCTTCGGTGAAAGGGCTTCGGCAAAATGAAGTTTCAGTGAAAAGACTTCAGTGAAATGTCTGGATACCAATTTATTGTGATATACAAATTCACTTCAGTTATTAATAAAAGTAATTTCATTATAAAAATGTGTGTGTGTGTGTTGGTGATATACGTCAGGTATCAATTTAAGAAAAGGTCACAACAGTCCATTATTAAAATGTGTAACGAAAGAAAAGGAGGTAGGTTGACGAAAAAGAAAAAAAAATTAAAAAAGGCAATTCGTGAGAAAAAAAGTTTATTAATATCAAATGATGTCATAATAATAATTCACATGATCAGGTGAAATCACCTGCTAGTTTTTTTCAATTATATATTCCTTATCGATTTTTTAATTCAAGTTATTTTCCGTCACTTGACAAACATGTGCTCTTTTACTTACTTAAACAAGATAACAAGATGACTTTCGTAATTATATTGAAGAAGTGATCATTTGGAATTCTTTGATTAAATGGGCATCGAACAAACAACTGAATTAGAGAATAAAAATAATGAAGAGTTAACTGATGAAGACTATGAATATTTATAAAATACGTTAAGTGAATGAGGCTATTATTCCAATTAATATTTATGATGAAGTTATGCCATATTACTTAGTAGAGAAATCAAAATTATATATTTATGATTCAAAGATTATCAAACAAGGGTTTGTTAATGTAATTACTATTATATTGATAAAAAAGTATCAGAAGATTCAACTGTGTATATTCGTGCTGAAGATGATCCAATATACAAATTTGAACTTATTTATCGTGCTAGTTGGGATTCATTTGGAGATATTGGAGATATTAAACGTAAAAGAGTAGTAACAGCAAGTTCAATTTAATGTTTATTCCTGAGAATGTATCTTCTTGGAGAAAATATTATGAAGATAAATTAATAACAACTAATATTTATACAATTGAAGAAGTTGAAGCATATAAAGTAGTTAAATTATCAAAAGGAAAGTTATAGAACGACCTTTACCTTAAAAAAATATAAATAAATTATTTTTAATATTCATCTACATACAATGTAACCTCATATACAGTATCAGGCAACGAATCTTAATTTGTGTTAACAATAATTAAAAATTTTACGCTATAAGAATTCTGCTATTAGATACAAAATAAATGAATCTATGTATAGTTAAGGTTACATTATTTGAACAATTTAGTTTTTATTAAATATTCAGCGATGTCATCCATCTGTCAAATAAGCCATTTAGACTATTTAGACTTCACCAAAAGTAGTAATATTTTGAAGGAACGTGTTTACCTTCTTCTAGACTATTGAACAATGAATATCTGAAACTCTATTGTATGACCAATAGAGCTCTCCTTAAAATTATGATCGGCTTTACCAAAATTATCCTGGTTGTTTACTTAACTTGATTTCCCGATGAAACTTGCTTGATTTTATTATTTATGAAATATTAAGTAGGTAAGAGCCAATGTAATTGCAGTATATTTTTATTTCACAAGGCAAACATGCATATGGTTATATAATCATGCAAACTTGCTATAAGCCAAATACTAGCCAAATTCAGAGTAGATTATCAAAATAAATGATATGACAGCGCCATCGAAAAAATATAATTTATAGTACACAGTGTGAAAAAAATATACTTGATCAATCAATGTAGACTCCTTATAAAAAGATTAAAAAGGGTTAAGCTTTAATTGAATAATAGATAATCTTAGAATTGTGTAAATTGTGCGACTCAAATTGTGTGCAACTCAAATTGTGCGCTCAAATTGTGCGACTCAAATTTGTGGCTTACAATAATAAATAGAGACTATGATTTATGGTATCTTTTTTCCAACATTTCAATATTTTTAATATTTTTGAAATATGTCACAACTCGTTGAAGATTGTCTTAGGATTATTTTTACTGAATTGAAATATGTTCCAAATTCTTTATATTCATGTATTTTGGTGAATAGATTTTGGTGTATTATAGGAGTACAAATATTATGGGAAAANAATTATATATTCCTTATCGATTTTTTAATTCAAGTTATTTTCCGTCACTTGACAAACATGTGCTCTTTTACTTACTTAAACAAGATAACAAGATGAATTTCGTAATTATATTGAAGAAGTGATCATTTGGAATTCTTTGATTAAATGGGCATCGAACAAACAACTGAATTAGAGAATAAAAATAATGAAGAGTTAACTGATGAAGACTATGAATATTTATAAAATACGTTAAGTGAATGAGGCTATTATTCCAATTAATATTTATGATGAAGTTATGCCATATTACTTAGTAGAGAAATCAAAATTATATATTTATGATTCAAAGATTATCAAACAAGGGTTTGTTAATGTAATTACTATTATATTGATAAAAAAGTATCAGAAGATTCAACTGTGTATATTCGTGCTGAAGATGATCCAATATACAAATTTGAACTTATTTATCGTGCTAGTTGGGATTCATTTGGAGATATTGGAGATATTAAACGTAAAAGAGTAGTAACAGCAAGTTCAATTTAATGTTTATTCCTGAGAATGTATCTTCTTGGAGAAAATATTATGAAGATAAATTAATAACAACTAATATTTATACAATTGAAGAAGTTGAAGCATATAAAGTAGTTAAATTATCAAAAGGAAAGTTATAGAACGACCTTTACCTTAAAAAAATATAAATAAATTATTTTTAATATTCATCTACATACAATGTAACCTCATATACAGTATCAGGCAACGAATCTTAATTTGTGTTAACAATAATTAAAAATTTTACGCTATAAGAATTCTGCTATTAGATACAAAATAAATGAATCTATGTATAGTTAAGGTTACATTATTTGAACAATTTAGTTTTTATTAAATATTCAGCGATGTCATCCATCTGTCAAATAAGCCATTTAGACTATTTAGACTTCACCAAAAGTAGTAATATTTTGAAGGAACGTGTTTACCTTCTTCTAGACTATTGAACAATGAATATCTGAAACTCTATTGTATGACCAATAGAGCTCTCCTTAAAATTATGATCGGCTTTACCAAAATTATCCTGGTTGTTTACTTAACTTGATTTCCCGATGAAACTTGCTTGATTTTATTATTTATGAAATATTAAGTAGGTAAGAGCCAATGTAATTGCAGTATATTTTTATTTCACAAGGCAAACATGCATATGGTTATATAATCATGCAAACTTGCTATAAGCCAAATACTAGCCAAATTCAGAGTAGATTATCAAAATAAATGATATGACATCGCCATCGAAAAAATATAATTTATAGTACACAGTGTGAAAAAAATATACTTGATCAATCAATGTAGACTCCTTATAAAAAGATTAAAAAGGTTTAAGCTTTAATTGAATAATAGATAATCTTAGAATTGTGTAAATTGTGCGACTCAAATTGTGCGACTCAAATTTGTGGCTTACAATAATAAATAGAGACTATGATTTATGGTACCTTTTTTCCAACATTTCAATATTTTTAATATTTTTGAAATATGTCACAACTCGTTGAAGATTGTCTTAGGATTATTTTTACTGAATTGAAATATGTTCCAAATTCTTTATATTCATGTATTTTGGTGAATAGATTTTGGTGTATTATAGGAGTACAAATATTATGGGAAAGACCTTATGAGTTTCTTCTTAATTATATAAATTTTAAAAAAGTTTCTTATTATATAAGGCATTGTGAAACTTTACAATTTATTAAATTTTATAATACAATAATTAACTTATTACCAACATCTTCAAAACGGTTATTAATTGAAAATAATGTTATTTCAATTTCATCTCCTTTTTTAAATAAACCATTATTTAATTATATTAGTTTTTCTTCCGAAATTTCACAAAAACTTATCAATGATATGGGACTTGGATTAATTAAAAAAATAAATATTTCTAATGAATATCAGGAAAAATATAAAATATTGGAACAAGAATATTATAAATTATTTATCAATAATTGTAAGAATATTACAAATTTTCGTTGGTATACAACATTACCCTTATATCAATATCCTGGAGCATCAACTTGCTTTTCTCAACTTCGTACCCTTGTTATTATATGTAATCAAAGTTTAATTTCAGATAATTTATTAGGAATCGCGCAAATTTGTCTAGATATTGAAAATTTGGAATTATGGAATTGTGATAGAGATAATCCGGGATTAATCAAATTTATTGAAAATCAAAAAAATTTACAATCACTTTACTTACATAATAGTATAAAAAGTGGAAGGAAATGTATACAATTAAGTGAAATAATAGAAAAAAAAGCAGTTACATTAAAACGATTTTCTTTAGAGAATGTCTTGCTCTCACCAAAATTCTTACCATCATTGATAAATTTAGAGCAATTAAAGCTTAAAATTGAAATTTATTATTATTTATCAGAACAAGATGTACAAGATTGGAAAAAGTATTTATTAATTGCTTCTTTTCCAAAACTACAATATCTCAAAGCACAATATTTACCACCTCATGGAGTTTGTAGGTTAATTGAAAATTCTCAAAATATTAAAGAAATTGATACATCGAATAATTTTCGAGGGGAAGATGCTGTATATAATATAGAATTATTCAAAGTAATTGCTAAAAATTGTCCAAATATTGAAAGCTTAAATGTTAATACTTATTTGAAAAATTTAGGTGGTATTAAAGAAATTATCTTAAATTGTAATAAATTAAGAAAATTAGACATTTATATAAATTTTGAAGAAGATGATGGCGATGATCATGGACATGAAATTATTTGTGATGAAGTGTTAAATTATTTATTAAATTATTCATCAAGAAATTTTGATGAATTTGCCTTTAGTGAATATTGGAGGTTTTCAGTTAATAATCTAAAAAATTTTTTTGAAGGTTGGAGAGGTAGAAAACCAATTAAATTTATCACACATTTTGATAGATGTTATTATTTTACCCAAGAGCATGTTAAAATTGTACAGAAATATTATGATGAAGGAGTAATTGATAAAAATACTAGATTTTTATATGGCGTGAACGATTATTAATGTTATAATTATACATTGTATTTTTTTTCATTATATATTCTATTTTTCATTATATATACATATATTCTACTCTTTCACTAATAAGTTATAATTAGTAATTATTAATAAAATTGTTTGTCTTTATGGTAAGTTGTGTCAAAAGTACAATATATGTTCGCATACATATACAGTTGTTGTGAATATGAATTAACTAGTAAAATGATTAATAATATATAATTGTGGCTTATAATATGTAGTCAATATGATTTATCCCCTATAGATAAGTAGCACTGATGTATTCACTTATATATAAACTTTATACGCATTGGTTGTAATCCCATTGACTTTTTTTTTCATCAAAACCACGTAAGTTGGAAGTTATTTTATCAAATTTTTAATTTTATATGACCTATCTTTTGTATTATTACTATTACATTGATAAAAAGTGAAATCATTACGATTACTAATAAAACGTATTGTTGTGGACCAATCAAATTCACTTCTGTACTTATAATAGAAAAGGTCATCTAATTTTCCACTATTAAGTAATTCATTCTTCCATATGGCTTCTGTGCATTTCTCACGCCAGCCTCTATAATCGCCCATTATCAATCTTTTTTTCCAAAAAAGATTGTATTCTTTTACAATTAGCGCTTCGTCAACAATTTCTAAATTATATTTTATCTTCAAACTACTTTCAGTATGTTTTTTAAGATATGTATTATTTCTTTTACCTCTTCTTCTATCATTTCCTTTTTTTCATCATCGTAACTTATAATTTCTATCTCATTATCTTTCAAAAATTCTTTAATAAAAGTTGATTAAATTAATAAAAATTCTTGATCAAAACTCTTAATATAATTTAGATTTTTAAGAAAAATATTTCACATCCTGTGTTTTTATGTAATTTTTTATTTATTTTAACATAGTATTTTTTTTATGTATAGATATTATTATTCGTCTTTATGCTTAGATCTAGATCAGGGATTGAACCTTTAACGTACAATTATTTTTTGTTTTCTAGGATCCATAGAAGCAATAAATTTCACTAAACTCAACCTAGGTACTCATTTATATTAACTTGCTTTCTACATGGTTAATTTTACTAATAATATTAACAATTTACTTTAATAATTCGTTTTTATAGATAAAAACAACTAAAGAAAAGGAAGAGAATCCACAGGTTAAACTGACGCATTGACGCTGCAATCCTACAGTAAGTATGATTTTTATTTTATTAATTTTTTTTTTCTATTTTTTCTTTTTGAATAAGTATATATATTTTTTTACTTAAATAAAAAAAATTATGTCAATATTATAAGATCATAATTTATCTAAATTTAAAGCAAAAATAGTATATTGATTTCAACTCATTTTATCCTGTTTGCAACGCAACAGGCTACAGCTAGTATTAATAAAATAAATTCAGTTCAAATTTCAAAATTACTTGATATTACTGTATATTCAACTTTTAAAATCGATATTTTAGTATTCATCTGTATTTTATCAAAAATTTTAAAAAAGTGATAAAAATTTGAATTAATATTTCATTACAATTATTAAAATTAAGTATAATTTTCATATAACGCCATTTTTTTTTAAGTGTAACCGAGCGAAAAATTGTTTGTTACACATAAATTATTAACTAGTGCTCCTACCGGGTCGGATTCGGTCGGGTTTGGAGAATATATCCGACTCGACCCAGCAAAAATAGAAATGATCCGATTTTAACCCGACCCGAGTATATTTAATTCGAATAACCAGGGTTAAACCCGAAATTTTAGTAATTTTCATTGCTGTATGCTTAGTAATATATCAAAAATATTTTTTCAAACATAATTTCTTCAATAACGCAAGGTAATTGATCTAAAAGATGATCATATAGGTCACACAACTTTTTATTATTAAAATTAAAGCTAAGCACGAATTTAAAGATATCTTCAATTCCTGTTTATTTATTGCTTTATATTTGAACTATGAAATCGAAATTGTATCACTTGCTTTAACAGAAATTTGACTATATTTTATGACTGCCAGGACTCTAAACACATGCATGCTCTAATTGTATCTGCTTTAAGACTACATCTTTTTGCAGCTATCAAATCGGTTCCACTGGCAAATACTCTTTCTACTGGAACGCTGGTTGCTTTATTAATTATCAAAATAAACTTATTAGCTAATGTAATATTAATAATTAATAATAATTCATACACATATCTGTAATTGCAAGGTGTCTTTAGCAATTTTCGCTATACTACCTCATTCATCTAACAAAATTATATAAAATTAATTAATATTAACGCGTAATCAATATGTGATCAGTGATTTTAATGATTATCCGAGTCTAATTCGGGTCAAAACCCGAGTCAAGGAAATGAATAACCCGACCCGACGGGTCGGGTCATGCGGGTCACGGGTTATTAAAATTGTTAGTACCGACCCGATTTAAAATTCACTCGGGTTGAATTATCCCTGT